CTTGAGAGATTTTAAAATTAATGTCCTTTGGAAGGTTTCTGGGTTGTTTGCAGTTCTGAAAATATGAAGTAATGCTACATAAGTGTCCAAATTTGTGATTCATCACATTTCAAAGATTATAATGTTCATGTTGAAAAAATTCCAATTTGGATGGATAATTTGCCAGAATCGAGAAAGGACAAAATGGGGTTTTTTTCAAAAAATATCATTTATAAGATCATTTTTCATTCTACTGTATATTTTAGAATATATTTCTGCAGATTTATTTTAATCCAGGAATGTAGCTAAGAGCATTTATTGGGGCTACAGACAGGGGTTATCAGATAAACACACATGTAATATGTTTGAGAATGTGATGAAAGTTAAACCTTGTTAAAGGAAGGTGTAAACTTGGAAACTGACCAAGAATCTCGGCCAGGTATAGTCTGGTGTTACACATGTATGTAGGTAGATCTGACCTGATGTTTGGCTGATCGGCCTGTGTCACTGAGACCCGGGAATGTAGATTCCACAGTATAGATACTGAACGTTGTTACAGTGATCCAGAAAATGACGTTATATGTCAATTATGGGAATATCGTGATGAGATTTTGGAGATATTTATTATTCAATCTCGTGACAGGATCAACAGAGGTGACACCGTTTCTAGATAATGAGATGTTAAAATGATTACATGGGTAAAGTCGAAGTGTTATTGAAGTTTATAAAAAGTTTTAGAAAGTTGGATGGATGTTTTATGGAAAACTTGCAGGATTTGCTCAGAATTGGACAGAAATACCAGAATTTGACCCAAATTGTCCCGAACTGACCAGTGGATACTTCTATGGCCATGTTGGTCAATGACAGACTTCTGTCACAGGTACAAAGTCGGTCACGGTACCAGTATTTTACAATTTATCTGTCATGACTTCATGAATCAATACAGTTTCATGTCATCATTTTTTAACCTGATTCTCTTATATTACTGGTAGATTTGAAAATGTTGGGTTCCATTCTAAAATTTTTCGTCAATAATGTCGCTCAAAATCAGAATCCTAGAGAGTATCACAGCATGGCATTGAGATTGATACTCAGAAAAAAGTATTTTTCTCCTATCTTAATTTTTTTTACTGAAAATGTTATGGAAAGTTGAAACTTTCTAAAAATCATAAAAAACTACTTTGATGTTAAAAGGTTTATATAAGAAAATCTGTTTAATGTTGTAAAAAAAAAGAAAGTAAATGATAATAAGGAAAATTTTAAAATATATCAAAAATAAGTGAAACTACACTGCGAGATGGCATTCATGAGCTCATGAACGTTCATGAATCATTCAATGAACTTTTAAGAATACTGGTAGATTTGATTCACTGGTTAAGTAGATATAAAACTTCTGTGCGATGGCGGAACAGAAAATGACTTGAGGTCTGATGGTTTCGCTGTTTCATATTTTTGTTCCTTTGTAAAAGAAACACATTAAGTGTCATTAGAGAAGGCTGTTGGTGATCTGGAGAGCTTGCAATTACCCTAGTATCTGAAAAAATATTGGATTTTAAAGACTTTAGACAAAAAAGAAATCTATTTCATGACAAATGACTTGTAAAGGAAATTTTTTACTTGTCAAATTGTCTATTTATCCCAAGCCAAAAAATCTAAATTTTCTCTAGATTGACGGATTACAATATGTTTGTATACATCTAGTGTAAAACTATGTACAAGTTATTTGAGGAATTTTGTGTTGTAATAAGCCATTGTGTGTAACTTCGCTTTCAGCTGTGTATAAGTAAAACATCAAATATTTAGAATATATACCTGGGATAGTTTATGTAAATTAGTGATTTACCTGAGCTTTATGTGTGATTTACTTGTACATGGTAGAAGCATTTTTTGTCCACTAGGCGAAGGTCCAGTCATGGCTTATGTTGTCTGGATTACTTAAATAAACCTGTTGATTGAGTACATCAAAGTTAGAAGGGTATAACTTTGTGCCAGAGAAAAATACCTGGCACTCCGTCTGACACAGGTGTACATGACCTAAACAGGTGAGCTGTTCAAATCTAAATCATATTTTTTGAAGCAAATTTTTGTTCATTTCTAAAATGTTCACAACTATTGCAGCCAAGGTGACGGTCGATGGTATGTAATGAAGTGTACATGTCAATCATATAGCTTTATGTAAAGACAAGTTTATCAAAAATCCGTCTAAATAATTTGTTTCATTCATGTAGATACAATCTGATGGAATGTAAATATGCTTTTATTTGAATTTCATTTTTGTTCAAATTCCTGAGTAATCCTTTAGTGATTTTCGGTGTAAAATATTTCCAAGCATTAATTTGACAAAATTTTGATACTATGTGAATGGTCAGGGTGTTTATACTAGACATGGTTATTTAAAGGGAGAAACAAACCCAGTTGTTTTATAGAGTATGGGCAGGTGTGTATTTTATGCTATTTTTACACACTGTTACAGTTGCCCTATAATAAATACCAGTTCCAGTATCAGAGTCTAGTGTTTAGACCAAGAGAGCATCTCGTCTGGTCTTCATTCACTATGAAATTACAAAAATCTGGTTTATATATTTTCAAAGCTGTAGAATGCTCTAACTGAAAACTAAGTATAGACAAAGTCCCATTTGTACTGATCAGCTTAACATCAAGGTTTACACCTTTCTTGTTCGTAAAATTATTAAAAATCAAGAATTTAAATCATGGTCTCAGTAATGGGTTATTGTCCAAGTCTTTTTTAGTTACTTAGATACTTAAAGAAAAAAAAAACTCACTTTTCACAGTTGTTATTACAAAATGTAGATTAATCTATTCAAAAACCTTTGAAATTTCAACTATTTGCTAAATATTAGAGAAAAAAATAAAAGAGAGATTGCAGATTTTATACTGTTTCATACAAGGCCGACTTTACGTATTCAATTCACTATATAATGATATTATGTAATATTTATGTGACGCTCGATACTGTTAAAAATGCAGTTCTAAAGCGCTTTGCAAGCCATGTTTTAAAAACTTATCTTTACTATAAATATATACAATATACATCACATATCTTTGATGATACAAATAAGTGTTAAAACACAGTTAAAACACTATTTACACATCCAATGTACGTTTGAAGAGATGTGTTTTCAGTCAGGATTTATGTACTGTGATTGTGAGTATAATGACAGGTGTTATAGGACTAAGTGTATACCAAAGCTGTTGGAGACTTCATTGGAACAACACTTGATTACATATTCATCTTGACAAATTTCAGGGATGTATTTTCCATCAACACTTGTCCTTCTAAGTGAGGTTTTGGTGCAGGGTTTACTGCACTGGGTCTTCACTGGTTTTGTCATGCTTTGCGAACTATTTATGAAATGTAAAGTTTACTTATGGTATGTGAAGTTTACCTATGGTATATAAAGTTTACCTATGGTATGTGAAGTTTACTTATGGTATATAAAGTTTACCTATGGTATATAAAGTTTACCTATGGTATGTAAAGTTTACCAATTCTATGTAAAGATCCACATTATATTTAATGTTGATGGTCTATTACAAATTAGGTAGGAAATTACTTTATCTAAAGGTAAGCAACTGTAGGTATATTATCATCATTTTTTCAAGATAGGTAGGTTGTATAAGGCAGGGGTAAAGGGGGAGAGGGGGTAGGTAGTATAAGGAAGTGGAGAGAGGGTGTAGGTTGTATAAGGTAGGGGTAAGGGGAGAGAGGGGGTAGGTTGTATAAGGTAGGGGTAAGTGGGGAGAGGGGGTAGGTTGTATAAGGCAGGGGTAAGTGGAGAGAGGGGGTAGGTTGTATAAGGCAGGGGTAAGGGGGGAGAGGGGGTAGGTTGTATAAGGTAGAGGTAAGTGGAGAGAGGGGGTAGGTTGTATAAGGCAGGGGTAAGTGGAGAGAGGGGGTAGGTTGTAGAAGGCAGGGGTAAGGGGAGAGTGGGGGTTTGTTGGTAAGGTAGTGAGGTAGAGAATGGTGTAATATGAGTGATGGCATGCTCCTCTAATGAACTCCCCCACCCCAACCCCTCTATAGTACCAGACACCTCTACTTCAAGATTTAATTTACATCAGCTTTCAGTTAAGTGTATTCTGTAATAAATCTTCGTGGTCCTGACACAGACACCACTACAAAGTGTTGAGATTTATACAGCCCAAGTCCAGTTCTCACCAATCAGCCCTGTTTTACCCTGTGTAGGGCTTGTTTAGGCCAATAAATCTTCCCCATTAATGGGTGGGGACACAGACTTTGGGAAAATTAAGGGCTGTTTTTATTGGATATTGGACAGAACCACAAGTTACATATAAACAGTGGTGAAGCTTCTGCAGTCAAGTGTATGAAGTCAAGCACATCTAGAATTGTTTTAAACTTTCATCTTATATGTTTTTAACAAAATTGAAATTTCAAACTTTCGAAATTTAAAAAAAGTGGAAAATTATCAAGTGTTTTCCAGTTGGCTTCCTGTAGTCTCTTAAATGCACATTAAGGGCTAGTTTTGAAGTTTTAGATCAGTAAAGTGTACCTGTTAACCCTATGACATCTTGATGACTGATGACATCTTTGATATCACAGACTGGGAACAGTCCATTGGTCAAATTTGTCCTGAAAAGGGGTGACAGGTGTGACTTATAACGTATTGGGAGAAAAGTCCTTTTTGACTTTTTATCTTTGATGAAAGAGAACAAGAATAGGATTGGTGATTCCTGTTGTACACTGCTCTGATGAAATACATTAGGGAAAGAAAAATGATCAAAATCTTGTAGATTGATTGTACATTCAAAGAAATATTTACTTTACAAAATTGTCTTCTTTCCACATATCAGTCATTTTACTTCGACGTGTGTGTGAAGACTTTTTCTGAATCAGCAAACCTTGTAAGAGACATCACTGAAAAAAGGGGCAAAAATCCTTTCAGTGAGTTGATGGGTATGTGATGATATTTTTTCATTATGACGAAACTTTACAGAATCGGTTTAGAGATTTTAATGAACAATGTTTTTTATCGTTACAGGTTGGTGACAACGTCGTTTGGGAGACACACAAAGTGACACTTTCCCGCGTGCCGAGGTTCGGCTTTGGTATTGCGGTCAGTGGAGGACGGGATAACCCGCACTTTGCTAACGGTGACCCTTCTATAGCTATATCAGATGTTCTCAAGGCAGGACCGGCTGAGGGCAAACTTCTGTAAGTAACAATAATTTATCACCAATTTACCTCTAATTTATCATCAATTTACCACTGTATACCTTGGCAGTGTGACTTTCGAACTTTACCACTGATTTAACACTGACTGTATGACAATCAGACTTCTTACACTGATAGAACACTTCTATCTACTTACGATACATTAGATTGATGCCAGTACACAGTTTGGTCAATATTACAACAAACACATCCCTCTTGTATGATAATTAGGTCAATATTACAACAAACGCATCCCTTTTGTATGATAATTAGGTCAATATTACAACAAACACATCCCTCTTGTATGATAATTAGGTCAATATTACAACAAACACATCCCTCTTGTATGATAATTAGGTCAATATTACAACAAACACATCCCTCTTGTATGATAATTAGGTCAATATTACAACAAACACATCCCTCTTGTATGATAATTAGGTCAATATTACAACATCCCTCTTGTATGACAGACCACACATGATGAAGCAGACATTTGATAATTGATGACAAATCACTTAAAAGTTGGAATTTGTGTTGTAAATTTGTAGTGTAGTATTTATCAGTATAAATGTTTAATGATATTATCAAAAACATCATACAGACTGCAGTGTGTTTTGAAACATATAAGATACAAGTAATACATGATGATTTTTCAAAAGATATTCTTGGTTCAAATTCTTTCACAAAAACAATTTTAGTAAGGAACTTGAATTCTTAAGATTTTTCTCAGAGAAAATCGGGGTCATCATACATTAGTGAGTAATTCTTGTAAAAATGTGCAGACAATAACCATCGCAGAAATTCTGGAATAAAGACACATGTTGCTGTGTTATTGTGTATTACTGACAAAACAGTAGGTTCATGGCTACACATACAATACTTGTGTAAACAGATATATATCCCCTTCGGAGGGCCAGGCTGTCATAGAGGTGGGGGGGGGGGTGGGGGAACTGCTATTTCACTGTGTACTGTAAGGACGCTCAGAATATTACACTGCTATGTAATGCATTGTGCAGAAATGCTGTGATGTTCTGAAAGTGACACATGTGTCTATAAATAGATACACACAAATATTCTCATGTTTTATCTACTTGCAGATAATCTGAAATTTTTTCTTCTTTTTTTCTTAATTGAAAAGAAAACCAAACCTTTAGATGAATTTATGATTCAAATTTTGAGATAAATTACAACATGATTTACTAAGAAATTAAATATTTGTATGTAATTCAAGCATGTCAATATAGTATGACCAGGTTGGGTGTCAGGAATTCTTAGTTTTGACAGTTCAGTGTGATAGCACTATAAGTTAAGATGTCCATTATTGGCCCACCATATGTTTTCATATGACGCAAAGAAGCAAAATCCCATGCCATTAAAGATTATATGCAAAATGAAACATTTCTGACATTTGTTATCTTTGTTTAGTTAGAAACTTTTTAATGTCTTCGGTCTGCGCAAGATATATCAAATTTTCTATACAACACAGAATGGCATCGATCAATTTTGTCTGAAGAGATAACAGTTTGGCTATCATAGCTGTACGCTGAGAGATCAATTCTAGCTTTTAGACTAAAAATATATTTAGAGGAGGAAACTCCACTCTCGTAACGTTATTACATTATCGTCTTTTAAACACAAGTACATTGCGTTCCACTCGGACTGATCTTGTCCCTTATCACTACAGAAAATTGATGCCTGTTTTTAGATATGTAGGGATGGAAACTATTGTTACATGTTGTTCTGCATTTCAATGGTGAAACTGTTGATGATAAGGGATACAAGATGGAATTTCAATGTACACACACTGTAGTTGTATAATTGTGGTATGTAAAAAAGCTGTAGTTCTTTGTTGTTGAAATCATTTGTCATTTCAATGTAGTATCTTTAATTTGATGCCTTGATCTCAACATTAAAGTGATTAGCACTGATTTACACACATTAGAGAACTACATCAGACAGCTGTTTCATCCATCTCCTTAGACTTGTTGGAGATTCAAATTACCTCAAGTACCAAAATTTAGATAGTTATAAAAAATAAAAATGTAGTAAAAAGAGATGTACACCACCATAGTTCAATATTATTCGCTATTTTTTGATATTGGATATTTTTAGTGTCATATTTAATTTTCTAATTAAAAATAATGTTGTTCCCTCAGCAATAGGAATTAAAGTTTCATCAGAACACCTTCAAATAAAAAATCATGATTATCTCCCTTGATGATATACATATGTTAATACATTTTTTTATATTCATTCAAAATAATGAAAAAAAGAATGATACAACTTCACCTATTCCAAAGTCAGTAATCTAGAGTGGGATTGGGAGAAATATATCAAACTTCAAAATTCTTTAAAGAAAAATGAAATGAAAGGATCCAGCCTAGGGGGAGGGGGGTTGGGAACTTGTCAACACCTTTGAGCGGTAGTTTCTAGGGAGGTGATGTTGGCCTTATTTGTGATTACAGCTGTGTTTTGTGACTAAGATATTGGACATTTGGCTGCAGACAGTCCACAGCTGATCCATACATTCCTGGCATGGCTCCTTCATGATAGACACTACGTGTGTCACCTGTGTATTATTTACATAACAATGTATTTACATATTTAACGATTAATAAAAATATTTCAGGTAATAATGTTTGCTGTTACCTGTCAGAATTAAAAAAGTTATTTGCTATTTTTGAGTTACATGAAAATTTAATGTTATAAACTCAAAAATTTGGCTTTTCTTTCAATATTGCTGTGTTTTCCAAAAGTGATGACAAGATAAAATTTTGATTAATTCAGAATAGGAACGACAATGAAATGTCATGTGTTATTAATTCAGAATTTATGTGACGTTTTGAAAATGAAAGTAATTTGTTAATTTGCTATATTAATAATGATTTAACAAAGAAAAAAAGATTTAAAGACTTTGCAAACTTTTTAAGATGAAATCTAATTTAAAGCTGGTAGTTCAAACTGGAGATGATGTAATCCATTAGGTAATGAATTATAAAGGATGGAGGACACTTAGTACAAACATCTAACATTGTAGGCCAACTAATGAAATAGTTCTGTTTCCTGTCCCCTAAAATCTAACGGGAATAATCTACATACCAACAGGCCATACCATAAAACCATTTTCTTTTCTAAACCGCAACAATGAACTTTCAATTTGAGTAAGACAACTTCTTCTTCAAAGATATAAAACTTACTGTCATGTGTAACTTTCCGATCTTTTAACTTGTTGTTTTTGAATTGGTCGGAATCATAACAGAGGTGGGATAAATTGGATAGCAGAGTTTAATATTTTGGACAAAATCCTGTTTTTGCCAAAATACAATCATAGGGCTTCAGAGAAACCATGTTTTCTTCCCATTTCTTTTTGTAATATCTCTGTAGATCACAGATATGTTGAACTGCAGCTTGGAAAGGTTCAGTGATACATTTTAATCTCGGATAAATGAAGGGAATTGGTGAAGAAACACAACATTTGTTCCCCATATCCTCACAATGTTTTAATGTTACTGACTCAGTTGTTGAAGATAGCTGTAACGTTTCTTTGTTTTTATTACACAGCTCCAGCCTTCGTTATATACAGCTTCCATTAGTCTTTGTACACGAGATTGAATTTCCAAAACACACAGGAACAATTTGTAAAGATGAAAGGCATGCTACATATTTACCAATATTGTTACTTAACAGGCACCAGGCTCATCTTTTCTTCCTTGGTTAAGGGGCCTCGAAAAAAATGTATAATTTCATACAAATGAAAATCTCCTATAAAATTTGACTGAAATTCATTCAGTGCAAGAAGAATGAAAGTGACCATCAAACTTTTAGAAAAATCATTTGTTAAAATCTTTAGATTTAAAAACATTTCATAAGAAAATTCTAAGAGTAAGTATTTCATTAATTCTCCATAAATATTTGCGGATGTCTTCTTTTTAAATGTCCACAAAATAAATAGAAATGCAAATTACTTGTCAGTTTTGTCCAGTTTTTTTATTCGGTTTCAGTCTTGTAAATATCTAGCCAGCAAGCGATATCTCGTGGGTTCTCCCCAACACAATGCTCACATACTGTAGGTGTTTACTGAAGATTGTTTGATGTTGTAATGGACACAAACTTCGTTAGGGAGGTAAAGAAAGACCAAGACTTTTAACAGCAGCATCACGTTTGTTGTAGCTTAAAAAATACCTCTATCATAGGAAATTGTAGCATAGTGAACGGAAACATGCCATTAATGAAAGTTGTTTGTTAGACGAGAAAAATAGGATAGCATGGGATCGAAAATATCTTAGTCAATCTATTACGGTAGATGTGATAGAAATATCTTGGTCAAAAGCATTACGGTAGATGTAATAGAAATATCTCGGTCAAAAGCGTTACGGTAGATGTGATAAAATACCTTGGTGAAAGCATTACGATAGATGTGATAGAAATATCTCAGTCAAAAGCATTACGGTAGATGTGATAGAAATATCTCGGTCAAAAGCATTACGGTAGATGTGATAAAATATCTTGGTGATAGCATTATGGTAGATGTGATAAAATACCTTGGTCAAAAGCGTTACGGTAGATGTGATAAAATATCTCGGTCAAAAGCCTACAGTAAATGTGATTTTCTAGATGGCTGAAATTTATTTGACAAATATGTAATACAGTGAAAACCACTTAATGTCACATCTGTTAATATCACTTTCTGGTTAATATCACATACCATAATGAATTTTAAAACTGTTGAATGTTTCTTTAAGAGCGTTGTCAAATTGATGCAGATTGTAGAACATTTTCCAACATGAGATCAGGTAATTTCAAAATAGTTTCAATTTTTGTTTTTGCCTGTTAGGAGACAAAATCAGATGCTGCTTTCGTGTGGAATATTTTTCGTGCTTTATTTTTAGCTGAGTTAAAAGCTGAAGCCGAAGCCATGTCATTTGTTTCATTCTGTTTGTGATTATACACCCTAGTCGGTGATGTATGTGTCACGCCACAGGAAGGTTTGGTGAGGATTGACACAAATATCAGGCAGATGCGGGAAGGACCTGCCAGATAACGTAACAAAGTTCAAGATTAAAGTTTCTCGTATTGATTGTGTCGGAGGAACATGTCAGAAACCTTATTCCTACCTCATCTGCTTAATTTGGTTTGAAATTTAATTAGTGGCAGCTGGGCTGGGTACACTTCGATTAGAGCTGAATATTTTGTGAAAAATTCATTAGTTTTATCTTGAAGGCATATGATTGGGGTACGTAGAAGACGTCAGCCATTGTCTTGTATGTAGAAGAAAATTGGAAAGATTTCTGTGATTTCTATAAAAATTTCTATTTTTAGAACTACATTCATTTTGAAATCAGTCTGAAACCGTTAATTATACAGGTATTTTGAGGTAAATCAAACACCACTAGTTTACTAAATAATCCAAGTTTTGTGAAGCTATGGTCACAGAAATACATAATATGTCAGATTGTTGAAATTGGAAGCTTTTCTTAGACATCGTCGGATTCAAAATGCTACACATAAAGAGATTTCATAACTCTAAATAGCCTTTATAGTCATACCTGGTTTAAAATTTTGAATGCAAAAAATTCTACACAATTTTATAATTGAAAGTTAACGAAACTTTACAGACAATTTTGTGGCAAAGTTTTTCTTATTACTCTGTCAACATTAGCTGAGAAATTCACTTCATTTCAGAAACAAATTTATCAACCAAATCATCAATTCACTAAAAGTTAATGAATGAGCAGATTGTTATACATTTGATTATGTAGCTCTGTAATGTTGTCTATTACCATACACCAGCCTAATTAAGTTCTTCGTCAGTGATAAATTATGATAATTTTCAGGACATGGTATTTCTTAATTAAACTCGTGTAATTTCACCAGCGTCTACAGGTAATGTAAAGATAATAATGTTGATCTGTTGTGAATGTTTGCCGTCCTGGTCGGCCAGCGAGGTCTCGCCTTGATGAGTATTTCACAGTAATATGGATTGTTTCGGAATTTATTGTAGGGGCTCTGAAAAGTAAGTTACTGAAATATAGACTGAAAAAATTAAGAGAATCAAAGATTTTCTTTCAGGCCATAAAAACACTAAATTTTCTTTAAAACGTCACCATGTCTGATAGTTTGTAAAGTTGGAGAAATCACTGACACTTGTGCCTATGTATCATCTTCAACCATTTTTGTTCAATGATGATTTTCATGATGATGACTTTTAAGGGGAGAAATTTCATTAAGAATTTTACCTTCATCATTGAATTACAATTTCTCTCGTGAAAACTGTGATAGTGGACAGTTATTTGTATAACAAAAACTTGATTTTGTGTTTTTCAGAATCAATGATAGAGTGACCACAGTGAATGGAATACCACTTGATAACGTAGAACACTCAGCTGCTATCGCTGTCCTTAAGGAAAGTGGTAACACTGTCACATTGGTGAGTTCATGCACACAGTATTTTCTATTTATATTCCTTCAAAAATTTTTAAAAGGAATTCTGGGAGAATTTTTCCAACAAGGAATCCGTACATCATAAAAAGCTAGCCCACTAGTACACAGCTTTACAAAAAAATGTACTGCTTTAAAGAAGGGTAACAGCCAGCTTCCTGACTTTGAGGCGGTTGTAATGTTTGAAACTCTGGGCTCATATCCCCCTCGTCTGTAATAGGTCAGTGTGTTGTCTGGGTACATCATATCCCCCTTGTCTGTAATAGGTCAGTGTGTTGTCTGGGTACATCATATCCCCCTCGTCTGTAATAGGTCAGTGTGTTGTCTGGGTACATCATATCCCCCTTGTCTGTAATAGGTCAGTGTGTTGTCTGGGTACATCATATCCCCCTCGTCTGTAATAGGTCAGTGTGTTGTCTGGGTACATCATATCCCCCTCGTCTGTAATAGGTCAGTGTGTTGTCTGGGTACATCATATCCCCCTTGTCTGTAATAGGTCAGTGTGTTATCTGGGTACATCATATCCCCCTCGTCTGTAATAGGTCAGTGTGTTGTCTGGGTACATCATATCCCCCTTGTCTGTAATAGGTCAGTGTGTTGTCTGGGTACATCATATCCCCCTCGTTTTTGTTGTAGGTAATTCGTCGGAGAGTGGTATTACCTACACCAATGGAGACAGATAGTAACACACCCCTCAAAATAACGCTGTCCAAGCACAACAGGAAAGACGGTAAGGACTTATCCAAATCACACAATTCACACAAAACTGCAAACGACAAAGGTCATTCTATTTCATTTTAAAGATATTCACAAGTATTGCACCTCCTAGATATGACCAGGTCTACTGTGTACTATATCAGGTGGCACTTCTTAGTGATATTTGTATTTAATCTTAATGTAAGGATGTTTTAATTTAAAATTTTAATGAGATATACAATGTTTTTAAAAGGAATTCACATTTCATGACTCCAGTAAGAATTTTTTTCAAATTTCAGATTATGGTGTCGTGCTTGGATGTCAATACTTTATCAAGGAGATTGTTGGGCAGAGCCTTGCGGCCCAGGACGGTACCATCAAAGAGGGAGACTTTGTACTTAAGGTGAGACTACTGTAATATGTCAATGTAGTTTGTAGTGTAGTGTAGTGCCATTAGTTTCTGAGAAGTTACAAATAGTTAGGCGTGGACGTTTAAATTATGTGTTATTGTTGTAAGCCATGTTTTATAAACATTTTACTGTTGTAGTTTTATTGTAAATCATCGGAAATTTAAAATGAAGAAATAATCAGAAAGATTTTAAGTAAAATGCACCCAATGGGTATTGTGTTCAACTCAATAACAGTTGCAGAGAATAGATATTTTAATGGTGATAGTTTACTGGTGGAAATTTTGGGTCATTTTTGCGTGATTGATGAGATACATTAATTTCTTAGTACAGTCTAACTGATATTATATTATTTTTGACGAGTCTTTCTAATCCTGCGTCAAATAATATGTGCAAATCTTTAATTGTCATTGTTTAAACTTCAGTCAGTGTCAAGTTTTCGGTTCAGGCATGACTTCACACCGTTTTTTTATTTTACTAGATAAACAACACATCTGTTGAGAATTTGTCACTTGTGGAGGCAAAACGACTGATAGACAAAACTAAAGACAAGCTACAGCTCTGTGTGACAAAGAAACGATCGGAGGAGAAACTACACATTCGCCAGGGCAGTAAAACTGACGATGGTATGGTGGAGATTTAAATCTATCAAAATCTTCAGTCTCATCAAAATTAGTCTGTTAGGAAGTTAACTTTTTAATTTAAAGAGAAAAATTATTTAAAAAAACAAAAAACAGATAATAAATGTTACGGAATATGTATTTGAATATTTGTTTAAAGGGAGATAATTATTTAAATTTAAACAAGATTTTTTTTTTTTTTTTCAGAATACTCGCTAGGTTACGGCACTTTACAGGGAACTCTTCAATCCAAAAAGCAAGAAATAAACGACGTGAACTTTTACCGTTCACCGAGTCAAAACGACAATGATTTATACAAGGGAAACTACGACCCAAACAGCCTTCCTACAGGGGCGTATCCTTCTTCTGAGCATGCTCGGTATGACGGGAGATATGTCTATGATAATGAGGCACCACCAAGGCCTCCTCTTCCACAGGACACAGGTAGGTTGTAAACAGTTTAAGTAATCATGTGTTATTTTGTACGCTCTTAGCAAACGTCATCAAAAAGAGTCAATATATTTTGATTGTATCCTGTAGTGAAAACATACTTCAGCATTCATAGTAATTAGCATATACATCATATTTAGATGCTCCACCCCGACCCCCAAGTCCCGGTAAGGAGCTTCTCCGCCCTGATGACTTCTACGGCCAACCAAAGTCACCGACCCATGACCAGGACGGATATCTTAGTGACTCACAACGCAGACCTCCAATGTCACCGAAACTCCAAGACATGACGGATGTAGGAATGAAACGACGCCCACACGAAGAAAGATATGTTGGAAAACGGAAAGACATAACGTAAGTATTATTAAACTCTTGTGGAATTTGCAGCCATGGAAACATTTTATAATCTACATACTATTTGTATTATTTAATTTTGGAATAGATATCTAAGGATACTCTTGGAAAATTTTTTAAAATTTCATCCATTAAGAAGTTCTTGGTTTTTTATTTATGAAATAAATATTGAAACAGATTCTGTTAATTTTAGTCACTTTTTGTCACAGAAATCAACAGACTTGTCTTTTGTATTTTAGATTGGAGGCAGCATTTTATGTGTTATATTTTCACTCTTGGAAAAACAATTTTAAATTTCATCCAGATAGAAATTCTTGTTTTATTAGCATTCCCTGCTGAAGAAAAATTAATGAAATAACAATATTGAAACAGCTTTCAGTATTTTAGTTAATTTTTGTCCCAGATATCTACAGGCTTGTCTTTCGTATTTTAGGTTGGAGCCCCGTCATGTATATTTTGAGAAAGAGCCAGAGCTTGGACTTGGTCTGCGACTGGCTGGTGGCAACGCAACAGGGATATTTATAGCATCTGTACAGCCTGGTAGCGGGGCCGAAGTTGTGGGGCTCACTGAGGGGGATCAAATACTCATTGTAAGTTGGGTCCAAACAGGGAAATATTTGAGAATGTATGATTAATCATTCTCCTCATCTCAAATCTTCATCAACATCGAAATAGTTTGAATGGGGATCAGTTCAAGGAACTGTAAACTGATACCATTATTACAAGGAACTGAGCTAAATTCATGATAATGATTTCTACCGCTGATGGAAAAAAACCAAGGAACCAGATTACAATATCAATTTTTCCATTATAATCCAGTGCTTGATATTAAGCCCGCCCGTATATGTCACTGTTCAACACAACTGTTTTTTATCAATGATAAGCCCACTGCCTAATTTTGAGTCAGGTATATTTTGGTCCCCCGGGCCTGCGTGGAAACTTCAGGTATACAATATAATCTATATATAATCTCAATTACCTGATTATAAATATGTGTTTAATTGACAGGCTAACAACAAAGATATCCCAGGCTTGTCCAGGGAGGAGGCAGTTAGTTATCTGACTAGTCTAGAGGGGCGTGTCAACATGGTTGTTCAGTATCAGAAGGAGGGTAAGTGTGACCTTGTCCACCACGACAACCTGTCCTAAAAATTTTCACGTCCCAGTCAGTGATAATTATTCACAGCGGATATCGTGAACAGTGGTGTAAAATTCCATCGTTGGATTCAGTCTTTATGGGACCTTGCAGTGAAACAGTTCACTATTTACCTGTAAAATATAAACAATATCTGTACTGTTTGTTTACCTATAGGTTGTATACAATATCTTCGTTTGTGTACTGTGTACCTTTATGTTATATACAATATCTTCGTTTGTTTACCTGTACCTTGTAAACAATATCTTCGTTTGTTTACCTGTACCTTGTAAACAATATCTTCGTTTGTTTACCTGTACCTTGTGAACAATATCTTCGTTTGTTTACCTGTACCTTGTAAACAATATCTTCGTTTGTTTACCTGTACCTTGTGAACAATATCTTCGTTTGTTTACCTGTACCTTGTAAACAATATCTTCGTTTGTTTACCTGTACCTTGTGAACAATATCTTCGTTTGTTTACCTGTACCTTGTGTACAATATGTTTGTTTGTTTACCTGTACCTTGTAAACAATATCTTCGTTTGTTTACCTGTACCTTGTAAACAATATCTTCGTTTGTTTACCTGTACCTTGTGAACAATATCTTCGTTTGTTTACCTGTACCTTGTAAACAATATCTTCGTTTGTTTACCTGTACCTTGTGTACAATATGTTTGTTTGTTTACCTGTACCTTGTAAACAATATCTTCGTTTGTTTACCTGTACCTTGTGTACAATATGTTTGTTTGTTTACCTGTACCTTGTGTACAATATGTTTGTTTACCTGTACCTTGTGTACAATATGTTTGTTTGTTTACCTGTACCTTGTGTACAATATCTTCGTTTGTTTACCTGTACCTTGTGTACAATATGTTTGTTTGTTTACCTGTACCTTGTGTACAATATGTTTGTTTGTTTACCTGTACCTTGTGTACAATATGTTTGTTTGTTTACCTGTACCTTGTGTACAATATGTTTGTTTGTTTACCTGTACCTGTTCCTTTTGTACAATATGTTTGTTTACCTGTACCTTGTGTACAATATGTTTGTTTGTTTACCTGTACCTTGTGTACAATATCTTTGTTTGTTTACCTGTACCTTGTGTACAATATGTTTGTTTGTTTACCTGTACCTTGTGTACAATATGTTTGTTTGTTTACCTGTACCTTGTGTACAATATGTTTGTTTGTTATTTACAGAGTACGACAGGATTATGACTAGTCAGGAGGCTGGAGATTCTTTCTATATCAAGTAAGTAACTACAGACTTTCAAAAAATAACTGATCTTTAATTTTACCTGTCGTATTTGAGATTTTTCTCTAGCTTAAATCTCTTCAAATTTTATTGTATTGTAATGTTGTTTCACTTTCCAGAACACATTTTGCCTATGAACAACGAGAACAGGGAGAACTGTCTTTTACAACAGGCGATATATTCCACGTCAAGGACACTCTGTTTAGAGGTGTGGTCGGCTCCTGGCTAGTGACGAGAGTTGGACGCAACAACCAGGAAACACAGAAAGGCATAATACCAAATAAAAATAGGTAGGACAGTGGCCTAAAGATTTCATGTGTTTAGAGGAAATGTGGACATATGATAGCAACTTAGATATACAACACGACTGAGATATCAACTCTCTCTAGATATACAACACGACTGAGATATCAACTCTCTCTAGATATACAACACGACTGAGATATCAACTCTCTCTAGATATACAACACGACTGAGATATCAACTCTCTCTAGATATACAACACGACTGAGATATCAACTCTCTCTAGATATACAACACGACTGAGATATCAACTCTCTCTAGATATACAACACGACTGAGATATCAACTCTCTCTAGATATACAACACGACTGAGATATCAACTCTCTCTAGATATACAACACGACTGAGATATCAACTCTCTCTAGATATACAACACGACTGAGATATCAACTCTCTCTAGATATACAACACGACTGAGATATCAACTCTCTCTAGATATACAACACGACTGAGATATCAACTCTCTCTAGATATACAACACGACTGAGATATCAAGTTACAAACAATCTTGTTACTATATCTCTTCACACAACTTTCTCCATGAACTGATTTTACAAATTATACTTAGATAAAGTATAGCTATTCCTGACTTTGAGAAAACTTTTGATCCAAACTGATAACCAATGACGTGTAACCATGGTAACCGTGTACACATTCTTTGTCCTTCAGAGCCGAACAATTAGCTGTAGCTAAACAACAGTGCGAGGAAGAGAAAGAAAATTCACCGTCCAAGAGTCGTAGTCTCCTTTTCAAACGTAAAGCAGCACGCCGATCGAAGTCCCTCGGCAAGGATCATTGGGAGGATGTGATATTTTGTACGTATATTTTATAATTGTCCTTCACACATCAGTGTCACATCACAGATTACACCAATAGATTCTGTATCTTAATTCTGTAAATTCAAGACCAGGCAACTTTTTTTTTATTATTATTTCAATAGAAATATGAAATATTTTGCTAACAATGAATACTTTGAAGTGAAAATTTTATTTTCAATCAAAAGATGTGTAAGCTATGGGGGATTATTACCTTAACACACGATGTTATATACGAAAAAAAAATCACAAAACATCCACATTTTAGTTTTCAATTTTTGGCACTTTTCAACATTTAGATACCAAAGGTTTTATAGAAACACTTAAACAATCTTATCAAAACCTCACAATTCCACTATCTTTACATTTTAGCTGAAAACGGTGGTAAGTCTTTTTTGTCGGTACCTATTTGTCCATAGCAACATGTATTTGACCTTTGTACCTGCATATCATTTGCATCGTCATGTATATATATATCTTTGACCTTTGACATTGCCTTTTATTTCACCTTTGAACCTGTATTTTAAACCAATAGGAACCTTCATTTTTATTTATTTTTTATTTTGAAAGGTCTATGCTGCTGCTGTTCCTCTTTTGCACTTTATTTCATGCGTGCCTGCACAGCAATCTGCTAACTTTGGCCACCTTCATCAGTTCAGATTTGAAAAAAAGTCTCATTTTCTTTTAGTACTCTGATAAGATGAACCACTCCATTAGTTGTTAAAACTAGGTCTTATTTCATTACACATATTTCAAGATAAGACAAGTATGAAGCCTGATATTTAAGTCTGTCAGGAAGCTTACAATTTGTATACAATCTACTGTAATAAAACACTGAGTAAACATGTGTTCATAGTATTTAAACAAAAATAGAAACTGCATAGGCCTGCTATACCTTACAACAAATTAAAGGTGGGAATTTGAAGTAAACACCCCAAACCCCCCAAACTCCCCAACCCCAACCTCCCAACCCCCTGCAAATTTACAAAACAGGGCAAGTTAGTAAAGCAGTAATGGGAGTGCGATAACTAAGTAGTATGGGAAGGGAGACAACTCCAGAATTTTCCTCTTTTACATGATATTTGATTGTTTATGATTTTTACACTTTCATTATAGCAATGATAATAATTATTTTTCAGGTGATGAATAAATCTATACTAAACTCACGTTTGATAAACATATCTACACTTAATACTTAATAAATAACCCCCACTGTGACCTGTATAGACCATCACGGTTAACTCCATTCTTCATTTCTTCCATTCCATCATTAATTCTTTTCTTCATTCAGTCCTTTTAATGCTTATTCGTTGGATTTTACCTCTGCTGCCAGCTCCCTCTGTCGTCGCCCTGTTTCATTTTTGCAGTCTGTTTGTAATTTAGTAAAATTTTCAGCTAATCTTGTCATTTCAGACTGTCAGTAATTTCTGCAGCTTATAGATAGACATGCTAGCCAGTGTTAGAGGATAGTATGCTCGTTGTTATGCGTATACTAGAGATCAGATCAGGAATTTTGGTGATAACAGGAGACAAAATTGTCAGTACCTTAAGACAGAGGTTAGGATTTATCCGTCATTCTTTATAGAATTATCCACTAAAGTTAGGAGTGATATGATTCACCAGTAAGTGGTGATGCTATTAACTGAAGTTGATCCCTGAATTGAGAATATTGTCTACTATAACACTTATCGTCTTATCAACATTCTGATTACCGACAAACGCACTGGAAGAAAAGTAGAGTGCACTGGAATATGTCACAAAATTCATCATTGTCGTACTCTCTACTTCACATTTTGATGACACATTTAGGTATGTTGCTGTAATAAATTTCTCCGAAGTCAATGTCGATCATCTGGTCCAACTGCAAAGATGTTCACCATATTTAGGCTAGAATTAGAATTCATGAATATATCAGGGATTAGATCATGAAAATTACCCAATCAAAAAATGTGTTACATAACCATTGTTTTAGAATAGTGTTTAGTTGGTACACTAGTGTTAGTTAATACATATATATTGATTTATCAACATATGTTTGGTAATGTGATATACATCTCTGCTGTCCTCTGTCATCTGTTTATATCGCCGTTAAGCATCAGTACATATGGTGTTACTACTGTACGCAGCACAAAAATCTGATTTTTCACATCTGTTATCTACTCTGTCTGTAAAATTATGTTGAAACTTTTATTAATGTAATGAACTTGGAGAAAAGTGTCTAGAAATTCATTTCTTGTCGTATTTCTATAATCAAATTTCAAGCATTGTTTTCCTTCCTTCCTTTCTTCTTTGTCAATATATTCTATTACACTCTTAAGGGATACAGATCTGGGTCCATTTATTGTGACTTCAAGTCAGTATTAAGATTTTGGAAAAAATCACAGAAATCTATTTTTATTTTCATTCTCATAAATGAAATATATCCAGTGAAACGATCAGCATATATAGATAAAATATGATCTAAAAGTGAATCTAAATATAGCATCATCATCAGAATTCATCAGGTGGTGTTGTGCTTTCTTGATCCAAGATTTGAGATTAAAATATAGCTAGTTGTGGGAGTACAAAGCTGTATGAACAGTTTTAATAAAAAGAAAATGTTGAAATGTTCAACACGTTTATATGAGAATTTTTGGACACATTTCATAATACAGCGTTTTATTCGAGCTTGGTACATGTTTTACATACACTATAATGCACGTCACCTGAACACAATACATGTTTATATGCCTTGTTTGTACTGGGATTGATAGGGCTATATTTATCTACTGAAGCATGATTTGTGAAGGATATTATGGCATATATGGTCACATGTGTTGTCCAACATCCAAGCCTTGTCTGATTTATTCTCTGTGTGTGTTGTCAGTTACCATGTGGGGTTTTGTCTCGGGTTTACAGCCTCAAATACAACTTATAGAATTTTAAAGGGTCAAAGGTTTATTTCAAAATTTCAAAAAAAATTGTTTTAAAATTATATTTTATATGATACTGTCAAATTAACACTTTTGGTCTATAGAAATTTGGAGAAGTTAATGGATTTTAAAGCTTTTAGAAATTTAGAACAAATGGTCAGAATTGACACTTTATACAAGAAATCAGCCTGAAAATTTGTTAAAATGATTCGATATTCAGACCAGAAAAAGGATGAGGGAGGTTTTCTGCAGATGGGTTGCTTGATAGGTCAAATGTGTTAATTATATTTGTGAATTTTTTCCACACATTTTAACAATATGCTTGGAAATAGTTCTAATTCAACCAGTCATCCCTGTGCTATGAAGTAATATATTTTGATGGCATATATTGACAGTATTTTTCTCTGTTTACAGCGAGCCTGTCTACAAAGTTCCCAGCCTATGAACGAGTTGTCCTCAAAGACTGTAAGTACAGTAAAGAAATCACTTCAGTTTTGTTCATTTTATAGAACGAACCCAAGTGGTCAAATGTTGTGAACATTAATATTTTAATTGGTCAAACTATTCCACAAGAAAAACAAAAATCATTCCAACTTTTAAAGTTTAGACGTGTTTCAATTAATGGGAGGCAACTCTATTGACTGTTAAGAAAAATATGTAAATCTACTTTGAATCAGTTTAGTCTATGAATATCGAATAATATTTCATTTCCTCTAACCCTTCAATTAGACATGCCAGATTTTGTTTATTCGTTTATTGAAAGATACAGATATACAGAGATATATTATAAACTGCTTCCTGTTTTCAGGTGGATTTCAGCGGCCTGTTGTGATTTTCGGTGCTCTCTCAGACGTAGCGCGAGACAAACTTCTGAAAGAATATCCTGATAGATTTGAGTCACCACGTATGTTCTGATGTCATTTATACTGTGTGTACAAACCGATAATATTTCATAATTTTATGTAGTAAAATATTAAAAGTTTTTAAGAATTACAATTGTAATGATCTCAAGATGTTTTTAATTAAAGACTTTGCATAGTAATGAGGAAATTAAATGTTAATTTTGTTTTCTTTACAGAAAATGATACAAGTACTTTGAACGACGACAAGAAATCTAATAGATCAGGAATTATACGACTTGGTGCAATAAAGGATATAATAGCAAAGGTAAAATCTAAACCTGGTACCTTAAACAATGTTTTATAGATCAAGGCTTTTATAAATAACAACAATGTGTACAAAATATTGCTTTTGTGAGAAAATTAAATGTGTAAAAACAAAACAAAAAAAATGGAAAACAAATTGTATATTTACTATAAGACCTACTTAAAAACAACTTAACAACTTTCAAATCCCAATTTTTTTTATTTTTTTTTTTTACCAATCACATTTTCAGTGTTTGTAACAAAGAGGAAGATATTTTTATGCCCCCATGATTGTTTATCTGTCAAGTTCACTGTAACAAATGGAGCTGTCTATTTCAGAGAAAGCATTGTTTACTGGACGTAACACCACACAATGTTGACCGTTTAAACTACGCCCAGTATTATCCGGTCGTTGTCTTCCTGAAAGCCGAAAATAAAAATGTTGTTAAGGAAAGCCGTGCAAGGTTTGCTAAAGGTTCTAGCAAAAACCCAAAGAAACTTTTCGACCAGAGTGGGAAACTGGAGAAAATGTACCATCATCTTTTTACTGGTAGGTTTTCAATTTGTGTCAGTTTTTCAAATAAACCATCAGTTTCTATAATGATGTGCTTTTCAGGATTAATATATCATTAATAAAACATGAAATAATTTGATGTTTAAAAAAATCTTGTTTCCAATATAAAATAACAAACACTGATTATGAAAATTTATCATTATGTGCTTCGTATAAGTTTGTTTGTAATTGAAGTGAAATAATTGAGAAACATTTGTAAAAAAATAGTTATTTTCATTAAAATCCTTGAAACGATTCAAGTTTGTAAGAATAAGTCTTTGAAAAATTAAAATGATAACGTGTCCTTTCAAATGTGTTAAAATTACCTTACTTAAATTTTGAATTTATTTGACAATCCAATATAGAAATATTTAGGACTGAAGCAATAAGGATTTTAAAGTTTGAAACAATTCCGGAAATTCTGGTTAAACCAAATATACCTATCTAACCATTTTTCTACTTCCAGCTACGATAAGTCACAATGCTACTGATATTTGGTATCGTCGCCTGCTGGAGATGGTTGATTTACAACAGAAACAAAACATTTGGATGTCCGAACGCAAGGTATGTCTCGTCAAAGTCTTCATAGGGAATGTCATCAGACTCTTTATCATAGATCCATGTGTAGTGTGTATAATTACTTACTGGACGCAATCTGGAAGTTTAGATCCAAGTTTTGTTTGCGACTTTAAAATTTTATTCCCTTAAGAATTATGATATCAAAAGTTGGGAAAAAACAAGACTTTGTATTTAAAAATTTGTAACTGAAGTTAGAAAAAGTATAGAACTTTTTCTAGATTTCTCAAATACCATAATCATTGTGTTATGTTTATGTGCACTATCTTAGAATGAAACTTTGTTGAATAGATCAGGACAATATATAAGATGAAAGAAACAGAGAGAAAATTGAAATACCAACATTTTGTATGGTTTTATCGTAGAATTTATTTAACTGAATAAAATTAGATGTAGACAATTTTTCTCATATGTTATTACATTGTGTCACCTGTCTCTACACAGCCGGAAGATGATATCAGCGATGACTACTTGTTCCCAATGTCCAATCGCCTTAGCTTTGCACCATCCCAGCAGAGCGAACTCGACCTCAGTCGACCAGTAGATGACTTTGACCTTTCACCTATGCATAAGAAACGACTAGTGAGGTCATCCTCTGATCCCAGTGTAAACACAACGGACAGAATTCCTGGCATTCCTCCATACCCTGCACCTCCTGCATATCACAAAACGCCCGGGGTAGGTATAAATTAACGACCGATATTACTGTAACACCGTTCACCAGATCCTGGATACAAGATTTTTTATAACCAGCAGCTAGACCAAGGAGAGAAGACATTTATTTTTTCTATGTGTTACTGGAGTTTATTTACCTAAACAAAGTTGTCACATGAATTCATCTTTATAACATCTGTTAAATAAAAACAATAAAACACAATCTATAATGAAATTATCAACTTTGTACTGAATAAATAGCCTCATATCACACGTAGTTAGACAAGGTATGAACATGTCACCCTCATCAGAACACCTACTCTGCACCGAAAACCCAAAGAGAAAAAATTATATACCTTACAAACCTAAGAATATTATTCAAGGTATAATTATATAGTTTGTATGAAATTTCAGATGTTATACTTTTTTCAAAGTATTTAATTTAACTTTATGTATGTACAACTTATTGTATTTTTTTAATTAAGGTACAGAGAAACCCGGGTATGCTTGACGACAGAAGATATGTAGAGTGTAAGTATACTTTTGAGATAGATTAACATCAGTATAATGTCTCTATCAAGAACATCATTGTTTCAGGAATTCAGTTTGTTCCTAGTTCTCAGTGAATTATATCTGAATTTTGACTGATTTGAAATTTTTTTGGAGATGAAAAGTTATTTATTACATCTGAATATGATAACATGACAGAGTAAGTGAAAAGTGAAAAAAGATTTGTGGTAGAAATTTGATATAACAATACAACATATAACAACATGACATATAACAATATGACATGCACTATTTACAGTAGATGGCCTTCCAGAAGATCGGTATTATGCATCATATTATGCATCAGAGAACCGACATCACCCAAGCAGATCTCAGATAGACCCATATGCCACCATCACTCCCCATGAACGCATGTACCCCCGAGCACCACAGGATGGTATGTCTGTCACCTTGAACAATGAATATTTGATGAAATTTGAACCTTGCTGGTTAAGAATGCTTTATGAAACCTGGTAAACATAACCTAGAACTGAAAAGTTTGACAAAAATTATTTTGAACAAATATAATGGGTAAAATTGTTAATTTCTGTTGACCAGGAAACACTGGTATAGATTTCATTGTTTTTATTGGATTTCCTAAAACAACTTCAATGATTTGTTTGTCCTTATTTCTCCAGAGCGTTGGTTCAACCCTGCGTATGATGACCAAGACCACCAGGGAAATCGTTACGGTCACAGTAATCACCGGCGGTCTGAATCAGATCTCGCACATACATCTCGACCATCTACTTCATCCCTCCCTCCTCCACAGCCCCATCATAATGATCAACAGCATCAGCATCACCACAGGGTAAGCTCTAGAAAAGTGCTGTCAGATTTCTGAGAATTTACTGGAGTGTACTAAAGATTTCAACGATTGTTGTGTGAGACAAGAAGTTTTTCTATAAGTGTCATTTTCAAAGTGAAAATTCACAAAGGGAGATAAGATTATAAGCACAGATTTGACTGTAGTTTGAATAAAAATCAAATTTGTAAAAGATCTGAAAAAAATGGTGTGCTGTAAAAGTAATGAATTTAGCACAGTTGTCTTTTTGCACTTTGGTAATTTTTTGCAAATTAGCGCGATGATGAATTAACATTTTGCAAATCCATAATTTTTGCTACATACAGAAACTGCGATAAACACCATTTTAGGGTAATATTTTCAGCACTGGAAGTCCTTAAATAAGATTACAGCTAAATTGTGTAGTTTTTTGGCATTTATCTTTGCTCTGTATTTGACAGCTACCACAAGTTTTAATTTTCAGTTTCAAAACTTTTGAGTAGATTTGAAGAAAATTTTATTTCGAATTATCAATATAGTCTGTTTCGTTTGAATTGTTGCTTGTTTTACAATAATTTTTTTTTTTTTTTTTTTAGCCATACAATGATAACTCGTCATACAGCAGTGATTCCTACACAAAGTACACGTCACACCCGGCCAACAAACACGATGATTCCAAACTCCGAGAGAAACTTGGCGCCAAGGGATCACATGACCCATACCGCTTCACAAGGAGTACAGCCCATCCTGTCAGTACGGCTCATGTCGACAAATCAAAACTCTCCGATCTGTCTGCCAGATACAGGTATGACCAATCAAAATTGTTCGAGCTGTTGACGGAGGATTTGCCATAAAATCAAATTCGCATTTATAATTTCTTTTTTTTTTTACGGCCAGTGAAAAGAAATTTTAACTAAAGAATTATTTATTGAACTCGTGTTTCACCCCGATATATTCCACATTTCTAATCTAAAGTTTGTTCAAGTGAAAGTTAAATCATCGTAATGGTGAATTCTATTTATAGAAAAGATGACCAGGGTCAAGGAAGGAGTAAATCTGTGCCGTCCCTTCGGCCAGGGACAGCACCTCCAGAGGTCGGAGGTCACCAGCGCGACCCCAATACCAAGAAGGAACCCCCACCAGTGCCAGTGAAGACCTATAACCTGAAGGATCGAGGTATCGAACCTGACGATCAAAAAATCAGGAATTACGAAAATACTAACAGGTATGTCATGTGTGCTAAGTTTGTCTGTTTACTCCGTAAAATTATGAAAATAAAAGATTTATGAGAACCTCCTTATTTTTCATGTGTTTAGACACTGTATTGATAAATACAGGAAATGATTATAGCATAGGATTAATCAAATTTTTCATGAACAAAAATCATTCATTGTTAAGATATCGTACGTTTTTCATGTACTCCATGTACATTGTAGCTTAACAATTACTAAGATGCTTGTAAACACAGCTCAATAATCAATGTTATTTGTAAGTAAATTTGTTTATTTGAAAAATTCTGCCAATGGTTATTTTAAAAACACTTGAATGTGATCAAGTTTAATTGAGATTTACATTTAAATGTTTTATATGACGAGACAATACTATGAAATTCTAGTCAATCTGAAAAGTATGACACTATTATAACATATGACATTGAATTACATTATAATATTGTGTGATATTATATGACATGTGTCACTTAAAATTTTGGTATTATGACAGGTCAAAATATCATTTAGCATGACATGATATCATGATGACATTTATGACAGTAAGATATGATTGTAGTTTTGTTGACATTAGTCTGACATTGTTGTCGGCAGGGGCTACAACTACACCGATTCCAGTAACTACGCCGTAGTCAACAAAATCAAAACTGGCAACATGCGCAGTCCGCCATCACAGGATTATCATGATTCAAATGAGAATCCATACGATTATGTTGCGCCACGATCGACGTACCAACGGCAGCCACAAGGAAACGAGAGAATAATGACAAGCCATTATGCTCGACCCTATGTTGCCCAGGACCCGAACAATCCAGAGCCTCACACTGATCGAGGTCAAAGGTCAGGAGGACCTGGATCTCAGCGAATGTTTGTTAATCAAATGTACATGGACCACCAGGAATTACAGCGACTAAAGGCACAGCAAGATGGTGGCACTAATGGTCACCCTGGAAACATGGACGGCTATTCTCGAGATCCTGGGTATCCCAGCGCAGCGGATCGCCCGAGGTAAAGATGAAGCCTTGTTCTGATTGGCCGTTAGGTTTGATTGATCACCTGTGTGTTCCTAGTGCTAAAAATTATCATTCTTGTTTTGGTGCATTTTTGAACTTTGACTCTTGGAATGCCTGTAACCTAATAAGTCATTTTGATTTCAACTCTGACCCAGAATGCTGTAATCTAATTGGTCCTTGTGATTTGAACTTTTACCTGAATGCTGTTATCTAGTTGGTCATTTTGATTTTGACCTTTTGACCCCGATTGCTGTAATGCATCTATATTAGCAACTGACATCTTACATTTTTTCTTACAGCTTTTAAAAAAATTCTATAAATTAAAATTTATCATAATCTTGAAAGCATTTTGAAGATTTTTGTTTTGTTTATTTTTTTAACCTAGATGATGTATTTAAATTTTGTATAAATAAATAATTTGTTTATAAATAGAACAGAAATCTCCAAACCTTCTACAGCTGTTATTTTGATATTGACTTCTACTGGCCAGTATATGCCAAAGTATCAAAATAATGTTTTTATATTGTTAGTCCACTGTTGTTTTTTAAAACATTTTTTTTATTATTTTTTCACCTTTTAAACATATCGTAAGGGGAGATAACCCCCGTCTTTGTATTGCACAATTAGCTGTTAGCTGATGTAGTGTTCACTACTGATATCCTTATTATATAGGTTTGTAAACGGGAACAGTTTTAGCATCCAGCATGTCATATCCATGTATCCTCCAATAAGCCCGGTAATAAGCCCACCCATATCAACTGCTGTATAATCACCAACACTGTTGTTCCTTGTCCTGCAATAAGCCGCCATCTGACTTTCAGCAATAAATTTTGTATAAGGCTACGGGCTTATTGCCGGATAACATGACATAAGCCCAGCATGACAAATAAGCCCAGCATGCCAATCCTCGTTACTATACATTTCTTCTTAAAAGGTTTCATTTTATTATATATATATGTGGAATGTTTCTATTTTAAATTTGTACATGAATTTGATATCAAAAGCTTATCCAGGATGTCAAAATTATTTAGATTTATTTTTTGATGGTATTTTTGTAGTCAGGGTACACAGAGTGGAAAGGAAATGAGACTCTAGGATCAAAGCGAAACCTAAAAACCTAAAAACTCCCAAACTTGATAGATCAGATTTAAAGATGTGTTTTTAAATCAATCTGGTTTAACTGGAAATTAAAGAAGCATATAAATTAGGTCTTTCTTGATCCTTCAGCTTGTCATTCGAAATAAAAATTATCCACATCTGTATAGTTTATGTCAAGTATATCCAAAGAGAGGACAGAAAAGTGAGTTAATTATTTACTGAAATTAGCAGGAAAAAAATTCATTTATCAAAAGCTATTAAAGGTAGTTATATTTTTTTTATAAAATATATATAAGGATGGAAGATATAAGTTTAAATATGCAAAAATAAAGAGTTTATACTTAAAAATCAGCCATTTTCCGATACAGCAGATTCATATTTAATCCTTCAAAGTAAGACACGATATTGATAGACATCTATTTGTCTTGTTTAAAAATCTTCATAAATCAGTGTTAGACAAAAGAAACACCTTATCCTGTTATTGACGTATATCTTTACTGTTTACTTAACAGAAATATCTCGGTAATCATTTTTCTTAACTTTATGAAGACTTAACCGTTTCATGAGATCTAGAATTTGCAATAATTATCTCTTGTTCATGTTTTCTAATATTGTTTTGAATCTAAAAAATCAAGTTGATGAGATTCGTTAATTTAACGTAGTGTCAGATTTGTGATTTGTTCTCGTATCTTGGGAAAATCTTAAGAGGAGATCCAATATGTTACATGAGTGCACCTTCATCAGTCTTATCTGTATTAATCTCAAAAACTTACCAAATGTGTTCCAAACATCTGTACTCACAAAAAATGTGTTTAACTATTTGTTTATAAAATCATTCTCATTCATTGTATAATTTTTTTTTTTTGTGATCTTTATCGGAAATTCAAAAACTAATATGGAAATACTTCTGAACTGATAATCAAAGCTTTAGACACTTTTTTTTTAATTGAAATAATTTCAAATTGTGAAAAAGAATTCTTATTTGAACTGAAAGGTTTAAGAAAGAACATGAGAATAGATTCATTAAATATATTGTTTAATTCTGGAGAAAACTTTCTGAATCAACGAGGCTGATGTTGCTAAAACTTTCTGAATCAACGAGGCTAATGTTGCTAAAACTTTCTGAATCAACAAGGCTGATGTTGCTAAAACTTTCTCAATCAATGAGGCTAATGTTGCTAAAACTTTCTGAATCAACGAGGCTGATGTTGCTAAAACTTTCTTAATCAACGAGGCTGATGTTGCTAAAACTTTCTTAATCAACAAGGCTAATGTTGCTAAAACTTTCTTAATCAACAAGGCTAATGTTGCTAAAACTTTCTTAATCAACAAGGCTAATGTTGCTAAAACTTTCTTAATCAACAAGGCTAATGTTGCTAAAACTTTCTTAATCAACAAGGCTAATGTTGCTAAAACTTTCTGAATCAACGAGGCTAATGTTGCTAAAACTTTCTGAATCAATGAGGCTAATGTTGCTAAAACTTTCTTAATCAACAAGGCTAATGTTGCTAAAACTTTCTTAATCAACGAGGCTGATGTTGCTAAAACTTTCTTAATCAACAACTTTCTTAATCAACAAGGCTAATGTTGCTAAAACTTTCTTAATCAACAAGGCTGATGTTGCTAAAACTTTCTGAATCAACGAGGCTGATGTTGCTAAAACTTTCTGAATCAACGAGGCTAATGTTGCTAAAACTTTCTGAATCAACGAGGCTGATGTTGCTAAAACTTTCTGAATCAACGAGGCTGATGTTGCTAAAACTTTTTGAATCAACGAGGCTAATGTTGCTAAAACTTTCTGAATCAACGAGGCTAATATTGCTATTTATTGTAATTATTTTTAACAAGTAGAGATGTTAGTTGTTGTCTGCTAACCTCACTAACCGATACAGGACTCAGAAATGGAGAAATTAGAATGAATGAAAACCTTTGTAACCTTCTACAAGATACATGTCCTTTGTACTATTTTGTGTTTGGTTTTCTGTCTTCATTAATACATGTAGTGACGTTGACTTTTCTTTCTTGTGTTTTTAACCTGTTGTTGTCTAGGTAACTTACCTGGATTTGCACTGTTTACACCTGTAATCAACCCCTCTTTCATTTTGGACAATTTCAATAATTCAAATCTTAAAATTTTCAAAATCAGTCTCTGAGATACAAAAGTAGACCTTTCCACTAAGTCCTTCTGGAGAAACATATTTTACTTGTGACAAGTTGAAAGCTTTTTGGTTCAGTAGTTATTGTTAATAAATTCAAATCTATGATAAAAAAAATCTTCAAATTTAAAACTATTTTAGCACAGAAGCATGTATCTGAGGAGGATTTAATCTGTAAACTTTGTTTTATTTTGCTTTTTTTTAGATATTGACATATCATTTGTTTTATTGTAATTTTTTCTCTTTTCTTCTTCTTTTTCATTTTTTGTAAGAACTTAATTGTTTTGAAAAAAAAATCACAAGAAAAAAATTCATTGCTTAATCATACATGTATGATTGATATTTTAGGACAAAATGATTTTTTTCTCATTTGTAAAGATCAGTAGCACTATTAATATGCTTATAAATGACAGTTTTTGTAAAATTTACAAACAAAATTGTGTTCAGAAATATTTAGTATATTTACTTGGTCATGAAAATAAAAATAAAAATATATATTTATTTTTATGAATGAGTTGGACTTATTTGTTTGAACCAAAAAGCTTACAACTGAATTGCATGTGTATATGAGCTCTTGTGATTGATATTCTTCATTCCCTGTCACTTTCTCATTAGCATAACCACACCTACTTCATTAGCATAATCATTATCTCTGCATTGTTATTACCTCTCATTAGCATAACCACACCTACCTCATAAGCATAATCATAATATCTCAACATTGTCATCACATAAGCTAACCACACCTTCCTCATAAGTAGTCATTATCTCTCAGCATTGTCACTATCTCATTAGTATAACCACACCTACTTCATTAGCATAATCATTATCACTCAAATATGTCACTATATCATTAGCATAACTGCACCTACTTCATTAGCATAATCATTATCTCTGAGCATTGTCACCATTTCATTAGCATAGCCACACCTACTTTAGTAGCATAATTATTATCTCTCAGCATTGTCACTATCTCATTAGCATAATCACACCTACCTTATTAGCATTATCATTATCTCTCAACAATGTCACTATCTCATTAGCATAACTGCACCTACTTCATCAGCATAATCATTATCTCTCAGCATTGTCACTATCTCATTAGCATAATTGCACCTACTTCATTAGCATACTCAGTATCTCTTAGCATTATTATTATCTTTCATTAGCATAATCATTACCTCTCAACATTGTCACTATCTCATTAGCATAACCACACCTACCACATTAGCATAATCTTTATATCTCATTAGTATAATTATAATCTCTCATTAGCATAACCTCACCTTTGTCATATACAAGGAATTTGGAATTCCATGGGGGTGATTATGCGTGTTTAAATGTATTTGTACTTGTTTTATTAGAATTTTATAAATTTTTGTCCAAAACTGAAACTAAAAATTTCCATCCTACAAGTTGGCAAAGAAATATGCATGAGTATAGCCACACTTGTGTCATTAGCATAATCCCTTCCTGCATTAGCATAACGTGGCAAGGACAAAAGACTTTACCCTGATTGCTCAGGAAGATGTGATGGGCCTTCTGTATGTTGTTCAGTGAGGTCGCCACCAGCTAATACAAAGAGACTGTCGTTAAATGACAGTGGCTGTTCACAGGGCAATAAACCTGAAACATAACATGTCAGTTTCAGACTCCGATATACCATTTTGATTTGAAATTTTAGGTCATACTCATTACACAAAATATTCTGTCATAATTCACCTCCAGGAAAAATGTGAATTAGAAACACGGAAATTATTCAGCTTTTTGTCCAGTTGTTGACCTGTGTTTTATTGATGACGTCATTAGTTTGAAGATCATATTTGAGATGCTAACTTGTGGTTTCCTTTTTTTTTTAAATCTTTAACCCCAGTATGTTGAATGACCTTTGACGTCAGCATGTCAGATGACCTTTGACTTCAGCATGTCAGATGACCTTTGACTTCAGCATGTGGGATGAACTTTGACTTAAGCATGTCAGATGACCTTTGACTTCAGCATGTTGGATGAACTTTGACTTCAGCATATCAGATTAATATATTTCAATTCTGTCTTAAAATCTTGTCAAAACAAAGATCTAATGTCGATCGTTATCTTTCACAAAGAGAAAATAAAAATGAAAAAAACAGGAATGATATCTTATATCAAAAATCATGTAAACAATTTGTATAATTGTGAAGAAAAATCATAAATGAAAATCCCTGTTATCAATAGATATATAAAAACGGTATAGATTCTGTATAGAAAACTCTTTGGTCATAGGGATCGGACGAATGCAGATTCCACGGACACAGACGAGAGAGGCAGCGCATTTGAAGCTTACAAGAAGCCAGTTATGTCAACTTTTGGAAAATCTGATATGAATGGTCCATCATCACCCAAACCTCTACTGCAGCCTGGCAGGCAGTACAGGTACAGTATAGTTTCAGTGTGTTTTCAGTGTGTATTCAGTGTGTTTTCAGCATACATTCAGCGTGTTTTCTGTGTATGTGTGTTTTAAGTGTGTTTTCTGTATACCTTGTAGAATTACTCTCAGTGTAGTTGTACCGTACTTACAGAGTTTTCAGTATAGTTGTAGTGGCTTTCAGCACTATTTGTAGTGTACTTTCAGAAGGTACAGTGAATGTATAAACTTTAGTAGTGGGATCTAAGCTTGCTAACAGTTTGAGGCCTGGTAATTTGACACATTATAGGAAGTACGTACTGATTACTTACTTCTGATATGTAGTGTAAACTTCATACATGGATGTCTCATCGCAATTGTTGTGACTCAAATACATTTTTAAAAATTTAAATCCCTTGTGTTTTATGTATAGTATGAAAATTGTACAAAATACTGTCAGAAGTGCTAAACACTGGCATTAGTGACCTGTCATGATAAGGATACCGTAGTAAATCATTGTAATCATGGAAAAAGGATCAAAATATAGATAATGACAATCTCCAAATATGGAAATGAATGTTTGTTAAAGATTTTGATATGAAACAAGAAAATACAGAACTATAGATAGTTGTGAATTTACTTGAAAGTTCAAAGTTCATTTGAAGATATACCTGGTATATTGTACATGTATTGTAAGGATTTTAAAATCAAGGGATTATTTTTGGAATGATTATTATTGTGAGGCATTCAGAAACGTCCATGTGTGAATAATTTACGATGCTTTCTTTGACATAATTTGCATGAAGAAATTAATATTTTTCTCATGTTTTCACTAATATTTTTCTTTTCAGTCTGTTTCTCATTGAATCAACAGAATTCAATTGTTCATAATGTTAAAACATTTCCTAAAATAAAATTTATGTGAAAATATTCCATGAAAAAAATTGACTTTGATAGATCTCTAATTTTATCATTTAAATATAATTTAAGATAAGGTGGCTAGGTGGTTGTGTTGGCTAAGTTGTGATGGCTAAGTTGTTATCGTGGCTCAGTGGTTGTGATGGCTAAGTTGTGATGGCTAAGTGGTTGTGATGGCTAAGTGGTTGTGGTGGCTAAGTTGTGATGGCTAAGTGGTTGTGGTGGCTAAGTTGTGATGGCTAAGTGGTTGTGGTGGCTCAGTGGTTGTGGTGGCTAAGTGGTTGTGATGGCTAAGTGCTTGTGGTGGCTAAGTCGTGATGGCTAAGTGGTTGAGGCTGTGGTAGCTAAGTGGTTGTGGCTGTGGTGGCTAAGTGTTGAGGCTGTGGTAGCTAAGTGCTTGTGGCTGTGGTGGTTAAGTGGTTGTGGCTGTGGTGGCTAAGTGTTGAGGTGTCTGACCGTCTTTATCACTAGGCTCTCCACCTCTTGGTCACAAGTTGAAGGCCTACATGGGCTAGTTTCCAGGTCATTGATTTTTCTCTTGGAACTCTTTCATCCACTACCCAAACTTGACACATCCTTAAATGATCCTGGCAGTTAATCAACAATATAACAAATACAAGTTGTATAACCATATCTTAATGTTAACACTATCATCTGTGAAAGTTATCTCCCTTGACATCGGCAAATCGTCCAAGGTGTATTGATTCAGATCATATGTTACAATGTTGTGAAAGAAAATCTCTATATTTGTCAGCTGCCCAGCTTAATATACACTTTGTAAAATTAAAAACAGTAGGTAGAAAAGTTGTTTGACTTTTTGATGACATAAGAACCTTGAAGAGTTCCGTTGTCATTTGAGGAGCAGACTGAAGAGTTCCATTGTCATTTGAGGAGCAGACTGTTTAATGTATCTGATCTGTTGTAACTTATTTTTATCACTTTTTAACTGCTTGCACGACATATTCTAACATTTTTATGTACAAATTCTGATTGATCTCACAATTCTATGATTGCCTTTACTTTGTTGTATTGCAAATTCTGAAAGATAAAATGTATAATATGTATATATCTGAAGACAAGTAGTATATACTCATTTAGAGATAAAATTTTATTTGATTTAGTGATAAAAGATATAAAATTTTTCAAATGTAAATCATGGAAATCAAAATCACAGAAGTCTTCCTTGATGATGAAAAGACTTCTGGGCTTGTCTGTGTAAGGCTCCTGTGATTTGTGTGAGATCTGATGTTTAAGGCTCCTGTGATTTGTGTGAGATCTGATGTTTAAGGCTCCTGTGATTTGTGTGAGATCTGATGTTTAAGGCTCCTGTGATTTGTATGAGATCTGATCAGAATTTGACACTTTGTTTGGTGTTGGTTTTTCTTTGTTGATGTCCTGTGATTCTGGTCTTGTGTGTAGCCCTTTACCTAACCAAGCAGTGTACAACGATGAAACTAACCAGGTCATCTATGAACCACAACCTCACTCTGACCTCGGTGAGAGTGAGGCTCGATCTGACAGGTCAGGTGATGTGTCAGGTGACAGGTCAGCTGACCAAGAAGAGCGACAACTGTTTAATAGCGACAGTAGTGGGTAAGGTTTACTAATACCAGCACTTGTGTGGAGAATGGATTTGAGCTGTGCTTTTTCAACTTTATTTATATGTATGAGTTTTTAGATCTATTGGGAAAAGAGTACATACAATAAATTGTACAATATAGAAGATAACAAGTTGCAATATATTACTTGGACTAATAAGCAAAAACTTGGCTTGTGTTCAGTTCATCTTGAAGGAACTGATAAAGATTCAATAAAGTACAATAAGAGTTCTCTTGTAATGTTATCAGACCCAACCCAATGAAGCTGTGCCCTGTCGTCACTGACCCAATGAACCCTGTCTACTGTTGTCACTGACCCCATGAACCCTGTATACTGTTGTCACTGACCCCATGAACCCTGTATACTGTTGTCATTGACCCCATGAACCCTGTCTACTGTTGTCATTGACCCCATGAACCCTGTATACTGTTGTCATTGACCCCATGAACCCTGTATACTGTTGTCACTGACACCATGAACCCTGTATACTGTTGTCATTGACCCCATGAACCCTGTATACTGTTATCACTGTCCCCATGAACCCTATACTGTTGTCACTGACACCATGAACCCTGTATACTGTTGCCATTGACCCCATGAACCCTGTATACTGTTGTCATTGATCCCATGAACCCTGTATACTGTTGTCACTGACACCATGAACCCTGTATACTGTTATCACTGTCCCCATGAACCCTATACTGTGTCACTGACACCATGAACCCTGTATACTGTTGTCACTGACCTCATGAACCCTGTATACTGTTGTCACTGACCCCATGAACCCTGTATACTGTTGTCACTGACCTCATGAACCCTGTATACTGTTGTCACTGACCCCATGAACCCTGTATACTGTTGTCACTGACACCATGAACCCTGTATACTGTTGTCACTGACCCCATGAACCCTGTATACTGTTGTCACTGACACCATGAACCCTGTATACTGTTGTCACTGACCTCATGAACCCTGTATACTGTTGTCACTGACCCCATGAACCCTATACTGTTGTCACTGACCCCATGAACCCTGTATACTGTTGTCACTGACACCATGAACCCTGTATACTGTTATCACTGTCCTCATGAACCCTATACTGTGTCACTGACACCATGAACCCTGTATACTGTTGTCACTGACCCGGTGAACCCTGTATACTGTTGTCACTGACACCATGAACCCTGTATACTGTTATCACTGTCCCCATGAACCCTATACTGTTGTCACTGACACCATGAACCCTGTATACTGTTGTCACTGACCTCATGAACCCTGTATACTGTTGTCATTGACCCCATGAACCCTATACTGTGTCACTGACCCCATGAACCCTATACTGTGTCACTGACCCCATGAACCCTGTATACTGTGTCACTGACCCCATGAACCCTGTATACTGTTCTCACTGTCCCCATGAACCCTGTATATTTTTGTCTCTGACCCCATGAACCCTGTATACTGTTGTCACTGACCCCATGAACCACAGTTTAACTCTGACATCTCTGTACTGCAGGTTAGACAGTGGAAAGTCTATAGAAGAAGGTCATACAGTGGTTGCAACTGCCAGAGGAATTTTCGACCACAAAGGTGGTGTGTTAGAATCAAAGGAAACAGGTGAGTGAGATGTTTCACCCTATATACATGGCCTGATAGATATTTGATAAACAGGTATATCTTTTTTGCAAACTTCATTATTTGATCTAGATTTCATTATTTGACATATTTTGTCTCTCCAACAGGTGTGAGTATTGTCATTCCACTAGGTGCTATCCCTGAGGGCGTGCAACAGGAGATATACTTTAAAGTGTGCAAGGACAACAACATCCTACCACCACTGGACAGAGAGAAAGGTCAGTGCTGGTCAATCAGCCTACTCCCTGACCATAACATTCCAAATCTGATGTAGAGCTGACCAACTTATTCATGATTCTGTTTTCCATGGAACTTCAAAAAACTTCTTCTTCATAACCATAACACCTACAGTCATTATCTCTAAAGAGGGACTTACAAGTTTGTTTATCCATGTATAGTGTGTATTTGAATCATGTCTTAATTTGTACCAACATAAGCAGGTGTTGTATTGCAGTAAGGAGATATTCTATTTTTACCTGTACAGGTGAGACGTTGCTGAGCCCCTTAGTGATGTGTGGGCCCCACGGACTGAAGTTCCTCCACCCAGTGGAGCTACGTCTTCCTCACTGTGCCTCGGTCAATCCAGACAGCTGGTCCTTTGCCCTGAAATCCAGTGACTCTCCTTCAGGTAAGTTTAAGCTTAAAACTTTGGTAAACCCTTGAAAATCTGAACATAAAAATGAAAACTTGAATGGTATTGATGAATATCTGTAAGATGTTAATCACTTTTTAATGGTATTGATGAATATCTGTAGGATGTTCATGACTCTGTTTTGTGTTGTAGGACACCCCACACAGTGGCAGAACATGAACCTGGCCGGCATGGATCAAAGTTCACAGGGTAAAGTAGGCAAGAGTAGTGTGTCCGTCCTTGTGGATCACTTCTGATCCACGCACTGATTCACCTGAACGAACACCAAAAAGTCCACTCATTACACCAAAAAATCCACACAGTCCGTGGACTTTTCTCCACAAGACTAGTATTGTGAATATAGCTGACAGTGGACGTTCTAAATGGAAAGGAGGCTGATGTTCCATTGAAAGTGGATAAAAATGCTGTGCAGCCCCACTGAATGTGGATTGTATCAACCAGCATTGGATACCATAAGGAATTCCACACCGTGGATAACTTATAAAGTACACTGTTGATAAGACAGCAGGATATGTGTACCATACAGATCCCTCTGTTGATATTGGCTAATTTACTTTCTAGATGAACGCACAAGTGAACTACGAGGATGTAATACACTACACACAACTGATACAAAATACTGCATGGATGTTACTAGTCCAAAAATCACTTCACATCTTAGTTCAACCAATCGTGTGGATTTATTTCCTCATCCACAACAACTACGTAACTTATTTTATTGTCCACTCAGGAAATTCAATTTGTGGATGTATCGGCCAAAGACGATAAATTGTTACGCACTTTAGAGATTGTTTACAGGTCTTAACAAACAACAACTCAGTTCGATGGTAAAACAGACAGACCAGGCTTGTTGTTGTTGTAGAGTGCGGAAACAAGCGTGGCAGCAAAACGGACAACTGCAGTTTATATGTCTTTTCTGTAAATACAGTTATTCGATATTAAAGAAACCAACTGCTTTTAAAGTGAATTTAATTTTGCTGAATTTAGTTTGATAATTCAGGTAAGTTTATATACAAATATTATCAGTGAAGGATGGGCTTATTAATGAGCATGGTACAATGTGATATACGCACAGAACATATCATGTGATGTTGTAGGCCTGAACATCACAAGGTGATACTAGGGATAAAGGTCAGTCTGAACAAGTCTATACGATAAATAACCCAGACGTATCACTTTAAAACCAATTATGATGAAAAACATGAGGTATGTAGTTGGTAGAACAAGTTCTTAGAGATCTCATTCAAAACATTTGTTATATATGACTGTCAGCAATAGTTCTTGTATGGTTTGCCTTTATTTTTATCAAGCAATCTGACTGTCAGCAATATTTCTTGAATGGTTTGCCTTTATTTTTATCAAGCAGTTATATTATATTGCAATATATTTACACTGGAATTTGTACCATTGCTACCCTATTGGTATACATACAGTTGATCAGACCTAGCTGATGAAGGGAAGGCCATCCATTCTATCATACAAGTTTTATTATCGAAGTACTCAGCTAAAACGGCAGCAGATTTAAAGACTTAAACATAAATATGAGCCATTTATTTTTCTTGATGTGAAATTATAGACAATATATTAAAATTTGCATGATTGCAGTTGTTTTTAACAAGTTGAATAAAAAATTTTTTACTATAAAGTAGTATATATTTGGACATAATCATATTGTTATGATGCCTGGAGTTATTAAGTGTATAGCAGAGAATATATTTTTGCCGTTCTTTGAAGTTTCTGAAAATCCATAACAATAATAATTACACTTGTTTATTGATTGCAATTTTTTGTGGTTTTTTTTTTTTTTTTGTTTACACCTGTCAATCTTTTTGTGTTTGAAAAATGAATAGTAATTGATATAAGCTTTCAGCCTGTTTTCCGGTTATTATTTTATCGTCAATATTAAAAATCCTGATATGAATTTCTTTAAAAATGAAAATATCATTTCAACTAAAGATCTCTCAAATCTGAACTGATGACTGTTTGGTGTTTATCTGTTGTGATGAGGTTCATGTGTTATGAACTAGCTTCATAGTGTTGTGAACAACATGTTAGTTTAATCTCTTTGGTTGTGATTGATATTAAAGAGATGGTATGAATTGTGTGAGTTGGAATCACCATGATATTAATACAATACAGTGATCGGGTGTGATTATAACCATCTACAATACAGTGATCGGGTATGATTATGATCATTAGCATAAAAATAGAAAGGATTATTGTGTTTTTGTAAAGGGGTGTGGTTATCTTCTATAAAATGGTTTGATGTATAGTTATTCTTAATTCAAATTGGGGGGGGGGGGGGGATTCAGGGGAAGTAACTCTTATCAAAGACAGAATATAGTCTATGTGATATTGAAATGATCTGCAGTGTATGTTGAACAAGAGAGATATTTTAAAGTTTTGTTTATTTTGATGTTTTTCTGAACTAGTCTGTTTGATCTGTTAGGTATTCTCTTTCATATACAGCAAGTCTTACAACAATAAGCATCATAGCACCAGAGTTATGGGCCCTGGCTATGTATACAGTCAAAGGATTGTATGTGTAGTCAGTGGCCCTAATCATGTATATGTTTGAGTGTTACATGTGGCCCTGATCATAAATATATAAAGTTGGTATGCAGTTGTTTCCCTAAACTATGTATTTATACAAAGTTTGTCTCCATTGGCCCTGGATTATGTATATTTTTAAGAGTTGTGTACAGATTTATTGGCCCTGGATCTGTATTCAAGAAACTTTTGCTAATCATACTTTTCTAGGACCTACACAATGAAGATAAAGACAGCCCTGTGTTATGTATAATAGATATTACCTTAAGAGGCCCTGTGTTCTGTATACTTTTCTGCAGAAGACTTAACAAAGTATATTACAGTCCTGTGATAAAAATGATATTTTATAGTAAAAGTCATAAAATTATGAAAGTGAATGTATAAAAATGGACCTCCCTGTTGGAAACATTCATATTTTCATTGGTCCATAGAAAATATTTTCAGGTGTTCTTTTTTTTTTTTTTCAGTCAAGACATATATACAAAGTGTAACAATAAAATGAAAATTATCAATTTAATTTGTACAACAGATTTAATGATGAGGAGATATAGTTTTCTGACTTTTATTTGGCTGACAGGTTGTGAGAATTCTTTTAAGAATGTTTATGTGAGGTTGTGTTTTCTAATTTTCATGTGTTGTTGTGGCCTTATTTTACAGATGTACCATTTTGTAATGTTAGTACTTGAAACACAAGTAATGGTTTGGATGTGAATTTCTACAACTATCGATTTATTATTACAACCTGAAAATGTTTCATATTCTAAAAAAGAACATTGCAATTTACATAGGAAAAAATTAGAACAAAGGGAAGTAACTCTTATATTAAATGTCTTTCTATTTGTGATATTAAATGTCTTGTTAAAATTGTATTATCCTTTGTAATATAATGAGAATTGGCAGAAAAATAATTCATCTGTCTATGTCTATTTGTATATCATTACAGTTATAATATTTTCTATATATTGTTAATTCTTTCTAAAAATTGGATCTTGCCTTCAATAAACCTATATTTATTATATTAAATGCCCTAGTTCTAGATCATGGACTACTACAGTGTAGTAAAAATCGATCAAGCTGAACAATTTAAGAATCCAGGGTGTTTGATACATTAAATACGATTTTTTGTGACAGTGCTGAGAGCGTTAACTTTGAAAAGAATGTTAAGTATTTTAGTGATTTTTGTAAAAACACTATAACAGAGCTATGTTACTTAAAGTGCTGAAGTATGCTTACCATTGTTATGGTCACACCTCATAGTTCTGAAAAGATTTGATCTGATTTATAGTAAATATGGAGATGTTTATTCTATTGTAGATCAAACTGGTTTTACAGAACCAGCCATTGAAATGTTATATTTTACTGTACATTTGTGTCACTGTACTGCAGGCTTCAATTATTTCAAGTCTGTGATTGTAGTTTTTACTGATAATCTGAATATTCTATTTTGGAATATGTTGATTCAACCAGATCAACCAACCGAATGGTATAACCTTGTAACCTACACTTATAAAATGCAACACTGATTTGTAAAAAGAAATAACATTTTTATTTTGATATTGCAATAAAACTGAGAGAACAGAGAGAATAAATAAATCAGAATTGTCACATCTATGCAGCATTTCATATATTCAGTTGTGGGGCCTATATATTTTAAGTAGCTTCATGCTGGATGGGGCCCTACAGATGTATAGAACACAATTCTTGCCATTGTTAGGGGGCACCCAAGGGGAATTAATTACACACTTTAAGAGGCCCAAGCAGGGATAATCATGTGGAAAGCAATAAAATCATTTTTCATGTAAGTAATAAAGAAACAGTATTTTATATGTGCTGTTTAATCATACATGTCATGTAAATAATATGTACAGGGAGATAACTCCTTGTGATTTATACTGAAGAGAATAAAATATACAAATATCTCTGTTAGTCTGAGTTTTATATCTTCTCTATACATTATGATCTGACTGAAGGATAGAGACGACCATATCTGTCAACTTTTGTCCACGACATTTTCGACACTACACATTAATTGAGCAATTTAGTGTCACCAACTTGTCCAATTTTGTGCTGTCAACCTGATATCGTCCATCTTCTCAAATCATCAAAAGTGCTAGAATCACCTGTTATTTCATGACTTTTGATCAGAATTTGAAAATTTTCAAAATCAATATTATGAGTAATGTCACAAGTACATGGGAGTTATAGTGTTATGAGGGTATATTCACAAAGACCAAAACCGAGAAAGTTCATAGGAATTTGGGTCAAGTATAACAAATATCTGTAAAAACAATGTATTTCATACACAGAATACTTTGAAACATCATCACTATTCACATATTCTGCTTTAAAAATGCATTCAATACCATTATTTAGATAATAACCAATTTGCTTTAACTGAGGAAATTAGTCTCAAATGTTTTGTTGTCAAGAAATCTAACAAGGGAATATGGCATAGCAATACAACTTTGTCTCTTAAAATGTGTATCAGGAAAATTCAGTTTTATTTGAGAGATTGACAAACATACAGAGAGATGAAGGTGACTGTGTATTCATTGAGGCATCAAGCTCTAGTTTTTTACTAGTCACTTTTAAAGTTGGATCTTTTCCCTTCTTTCCTCTCCTTCGTTTCTGTTGTAAATTACATAAAATTTGAAAATTTCTCTTAAGAAATAGTGAAATTAATCTTTTAATGCCAAATCCAAGATGATTGCCTGTCAGACATTTTGTTTTTTCTGATCAGTCAAACGGGCACAACTAGGGACAAAGAAGAGAACTTGAGAGGGATCCATACCGTACTTCTAAAGAAATACTGATAACAATCGTTCAATGTAGAAATTTAAGATGGCCACCTGTCAGCCATTTTGTTCTTTTGATCCCTCTTAAAATTAGGGGCCAAGTGGAACCTACATAAGAAATTTGAGATCCATCTTGTGCTTTTCAAGAAATAGATAAAATTGTTTGTGGACAGAAAAATGTGAATAGTTAACCATGATGATGGAGGGATAATGTTGAGCTAAAAATTCTGTTTCCATTTTTCCTATAGCTCCCTACATTGGAAATATAACCGGAACCTGTTAATAAGATAATAAAATATGTTTTATTTCCATAATTTCATCATATTTGACATAATTGAACAGGAGGTAAAACATCAGTTTCCTCTAAATCTGTCATCTTTGTTCGATTCCTAATCACCAGTAGTAACATACATAACTTGTCATAATTAAATATTTGTGTAGTTTCACATTTTAGCAAATCATCACAGTGGTGAATCGGACACCCTGCAGTCATTGTTAAGTAAACATGGAATAGAAACTGTAATAGATCAATGCAGTCATATATCCATGTAATACTTTTTAACACAGAAAACCCTGACATTATCAGTACCCCAGGGAGGACCTCAATCATAACGAGACTATAGTCCTTGTACTCAATAAAACTACATTCAGGTCCAGTAAGGTGACCTGTACTCCTCTCTGTACAATTATCTTTGTGTATAAAGATCTCAATACAATCACATGTACTGTAATAAACCCAAATTTAGGAATAAAATCCATCACAAGTATGGACGAAAATGTTAATCCTTCATTACATTACTGTACAATGTATTTACTACATCATATCAACAACAGAATAAAGCCTTGTCTTCCTGTAATACATTACAACGAAAGAATTTGTTTGGTGATTGGGATCAATTTACCTCAGCCAAGGACCGACTCTACGTACCTCGGCCAAGGACAGACACTCCATACCTCAGCCGAGGACAGACACTCCATACCTCAGCCGAGGACTGACATTCCATACCTCAGCCGAGGACAGACACTCCAGACCTCAGCCGAGGACTGACACTCCATATCTCAGCCGAGGACAGACACTCCATACCTCAGCCATTAATCTCTTTTCATTTTATACTTCAGAAAGACAACTGAATATAACTATGTTTTAATCATTGTGTCACTTTGCACCAAATGTCATGAATATGTACCACACAAATCCGACAAGACAGGAAAATCTCTCACTGGGAAGTGTATTGTCTTGTGTATAAGAAACTGATGCACGTAATCAATTAAGAGAAAGATCTCATCTACACACTCTTCTGACTACATAAAGATCAAATAAAACCCTAAAGTATCAACAGTGAATGATCACCATGGTAACATTACATCAAGCTAGATTCTGATTCCAACAATTTTGTGTGGTTCTTTCGTTTTCTTTTTTTTTCCTAATTAGATTTTTAATTAAGATGTGTTGACCATCAAGATGATAAAGACTCCATGACACTGTTGGCTTGTTTTAATTCTGAAATAAAAACAAGAAAAAGGCTCTAAGGTTATATACAACCCGACATTAAAAGTTAAATTATCTCCCTTATCTACATATACAAAAATAATCTAGAACAAATCATTTTGTTAGTTACTGCATTAAAGACATATGGAAGTAGTTATTGATAAATGAAAGTGATAAATATAGGTCACTGTTACCAAATTATGGTTCATGTTACATGTCCACTTATGAAGTACTAACACAAGATGTTTAGCGAATCTGTGTGAAATTTTAATAATCTTAGGTCCTAAATTTCCTCTAGTTTGGTGAAATGCATAAAATATGAAGAAACATTGGTGTGACCATAATTCTCTGATTCAAAAACTAGAAAAAAGCAAAGGTCACTGTGACCTACTTTTATTGTATAGCATGCCTTCAAGGGCAAGAATTGCTGAGTACCTTCCTATGATGAAGCAATTTCAGCCTGTAACAGTTGTTACTATTTTTAGATGAAATGCTAAAGAAATATGGTTAAAATGCATTTAGAAAGTTGCTTTTCTGCTGAGTAAAATGTAAAACTTCCCCACAGGGGTAACTTACCGCTGAGTAGGACACGGAACTTCTCTGTTGATACTGTGAAGGAGATTGGTGATGTTGCACCAGTGTCTGGGTTCTTAGTGGTCAACTGTAACTGGACACAGGGAGAATTTACGTCCTGACAGAGAAAAAAAAATATCATGCAGTCCACTGCCTACTCTCCAATTGAACATGTTAACTCAAAAAACCTCAGGACATTGTCTACCTTCAGATAAAACAATACAGAATGTCTCTGATACAACTTCTATCATAATACATACCATGGATTTGAGGATCACGACATTGTCCACCTTCAGATAAAACAATACAGAATGTCTCTGATACAACTTCTATCATAATACATACCATGGATTTGAGGATCACGACATTGTCCACCTTCAGATAAAACAATACAGAATGTCTCTGATACAACTTCTATCATAATACATACCATGGATTTGAGGATCACGACATTGTCCACCTTCTGATAAAACAATACAGAATGTCTCTGATACAACTTCTATCATAATACATACCATGGATTTAAGGGTTGTTTATAAGGTTTACGTGCTGTAAGTAATATTTGACTTTCTTGAAGGAGATACAAAACAAATAGGGTACAACGAGATGGAATCAGAACTAGACACCAATGTCAAGTGAATAGAAAAAAACAAGCAAAGATTACTCATAAACATATAACTTACAATTTAATAAGATCAGCAGTTTACACATAGAAAACAGGACATGATAACTCATGTTTAACCTGCTAGAACTGACGACATTTTCCACTCTCCACCTTAATGAGATTACATGGAAACTCAACCTTTAACACCCAGAAAAGATGTCATAGTTCTCTCCCTCATGAACTGAGTCAACATGTACTCACCTTTAACTCACTAGAACTGACAACATAGTTATCTCCCTAATGAACTGAGTCAATATGTACTCACCTTTAACTCACTAGAACTGACGACATAGTTGTTTCCCTAATGAACTGAGCCAATATGTACTCACCTTTAACTCACTAGAACTGACAACATAGTTATCTCCCTAATGAACTGAGTCAATATGTACTCACCTTTAACTCACTAGAACTGACGACATAGTTGTTTCCCTAATGAACTGAGCCAATATGTACTCACCTTTAACTCACTAGAACTGAGGACATAGTTCACTCCCTAATGAACTGCATCAATATGTACTCACCTTTAACTCACTAGAACTGAGGACATAGTCAACTCTCCATCGCACCGAGTCAACATGGGATACTATAGAAAAACAACAAACACAAGTTGTGATCATCATTTTCATATCTGTATCTTCAATAAACTACCGATAATGTCCCTCTGACCCATTACATACTTCAAGTAGACCAAACTCACATTAAAGACTGTGAACACAAGATGTTCCTTATTACACCAAACAAAACTGGTCAGCTTCTCTCCAGGAACATTTCATTCAAATTCTAGCCATAATTATTGTTCCTACTCCCTTTTAATAAGTATCAACAGTGACCTTGACCTTGATTTATAACTGTCGTTCAATAAAGAGTACTGGTTTCTTTTCACATTTGAAATATCTGCCTTATTCATGTAATGTGAAAATTATGTTTTTGACCTAGAAATGTTTTTTTTCCAGGTGGTGGCCATGACAGCCCTCTTGGATTTCAGACCAACCTAAAAATAACAACACTTGATCAGAACCATTTTAGATAAGTTTTAGCTCATTCACACTGTTGAAACTTGAGAAGAAGTTTGAAATAGGTGTTGCAAAGGAAACAAAGATTACGCAATTATGTTACAAAATGACGTCCCTGGCTGCAGTGTCAAAGTCTTGACAAGATCAAAAAATAACAACACTTTGTTTGGCTACCTTTCCTCAACGGCACCAGTGGAACTGGAGAAGAAGTTTAAGATATCTTTTCCAAGATCGCAGCCATGGTGGCCATCTTGGATTTCAGACAGAACTGAAAAGTATTAACACTTTGATCAGGACCATCTCAGGATCATTTCATGCAAATTTTAGCTCAATCCCACTGGTGGAACTTGAGAAGAAGTTTAAAATGTCAAAAGTTTATGCATGGTGTATGGCGCACGTCGGATGAAGACTGACAAAGCATGATGGCTATAGGTCACCATGTGACTTTGTCTTAGGTGACCTGAATGTGTATTCATTTAGCAAATATCAGCCTGTAAACAACTTTGTATTGATTTTAATTTCAACAAAAACACATTGAGGATTTTCCCAACAGTTGACATGAATACACAAACTTGATTTTCAAACTTTCATCAGCGAGACTATGAAACTATGAAATCGAAAAAAAATGGAAAACTATGGATGTTTTCCACGTGAAACAACACAAAATGAAATAAAACAAACAGCAGGATACTCACATCGCAGACTAGTCTTTCTAAAATGAGTTTGTAGTTTATCTACACCATCACTGTAGGATTTACATAATGCTGCAGTATGTTCTGAAATCAGATGATACAATGTGATGAATAAAACTGCAAAAATAAGTGGCACTAGAGTAGTTGGTAAATTTGAGTTATTTCCCCTGATAACACTTTATATCAGAGAAGACAACCCAGCAGTTTCAATATGTATTTCAACATTTTTTTACAAAGGGGTGATAACTCAATATTTTGAGCTTAATTCAGATGTAGAAAAAGGAGGAGGGTAACACAGTTTTCACATCATATTTTAAGGCAAATTTCATCCTGAAGCCTGTCCTAGTTTCATAAGGGGAGGTAACTTGGTATTCTCACTTTGATTCTTTAGGGAAGGGGAGATAATTCTGTTTCATTGTTACTATTTTAGGAAGATAATACAACAGTTTGATATTACTGCACCAGCTAAGGAAGACACCATATATTCTTATCATTCTAAAAGTGATGTTTCCCAATAATTATCTCTCTTTGCTTTGGGAGATCAGCTTACCTTTTGGGAGACCTAACTGCTGAAGTTCATTAGAGAGGGATTCTCCGTCAATGCCATATTTAGCAGCACTGGAAAGCACGAAACTGAGGGCCGCTAAACTTGCCTTCACATCACCAATTTCTAAACCAAACATTACGTATTCAAAAGTGTGCAGTTTTCAATGGGTGGACTAGCATTTAACTGCAATCAAAAATCCCAACCCTAATACCTAAAAAGGTAACAGCCTAATAAATAATTAATTTTTCATCAAAAAATTTGCTTCATTGAATAAGTTTTAAGCTTAAAAACCTTTAATCTAATTTTTTAATTAAATGTCCTTATAAAACTCCCAAGAACATCGGGTCAGTTTTAGCTTTGCCTTATTGATGAATTGATTTTTAGCTCAACTAAATGACATTATATGAGTTAACAGGAAAATCTTTAACAGGGGACCTTACACCATATAGACAGTTTTACTTCTACAATATAAAGGAGTATGTTCAAGGTTCATAGAAAGTACTATTATACACTTGGGATAACTCACCAAACTTAGCATCGGACGTCAGTTTGTAGACTTTCTCATACTGCAATAAAGAAAACAAGGATTTCAATTTGATACAAAAACTTCAAATATGTTTTAACAAATGGAGCGAGGAGTTTATAGTGCAACCTGGCTTCACAGAAATTGCTTAATCTAAACTGAAATGAAAAGCCTTGTATCTTCCTACTTGGCCCCAACCTTCTGTCCCATAGGTTCATCATTTATACAAAATCAATTTCCCTTCACCAATGGATGCTTCAGACCAATATTCAATAATTCCAAAAGAATAAGAACAATTTATAAAACTTTGCTCACTCCATTTCCCCTATTGAGTCCCCTCAGAATCCAGAAACAGACTGAGTCCACTACCACTGAGCCACACAACAATGATACAATTTCCGCTTGGATAATAATAACTTAAACTTTATTTGTTTTAAAAAAAATTATTTCAACTTATACTAATCACTCTTGTTGGCCCAAATGTAAGCGCACAAGAAGTCTTATTGTGAGAGGAAACCAGAGTACCTGGGGAAAAACCCAAGTGGTCGCTGACCCTTACCTTTCAGGAATTGAACCCCGAACGGCTAGGTGAAAGGCAAGTGTATTATCACTGCGCCACCCGACCACCCATTCACTGGGATGATCGACAGTACCAAGAAAAATGGCAAACAAGAGGCCCCAGGGGCCTTAACTGTCATTTGAGTCATAATAGTTCTTGTAACATGTCATAGAAATTATTTTGTTGAAAAACGTAATAAAACTTGAAAACTTTGTACACAATGCAAATGTTAATTGTGTATACATTAACTGCTGTTCCATGCTAAGGTTTCTAACCAAGCTTGAATTAAAAAAATACTCTCAAGATTTTAACTTTCTTTTATAAGATCTTCCATCCAGGAACAGTAGAACATCTTTGAAATTTCAGTCAATTTGACCAATTTTTGGCCTCGCCATCAGCCCCTAGGAGTCAGTCAAGTTCAATAGGAGCAGCTCATCAAACAGTCAGCTTATACAAATTAAAAATTCTTACCAAATTTGAACAATTTCTAGAAGAAAACAAACAAATTATAGTCAAAAATGTAATTTTCCTATCTAATATATAGTCAATTTTACCCCCTCCCCAATGGGAAATGTGAGACCCTGGGGTCATGAAATTTACTAGTTTTATAAAGCACTGTAAGACACTTCTATCCAAGATGAGTATTTGGTTATGCATTATCTGGGTATTGAGAAGAAGATTATGAAGCTTCAATCAATTTGACCCTTTTTGGCCCTACCTCTCAGGCACCTGGAGGTTGAGGACCATATAATTAAAAACTTTTGTGCACCTTTAGCCATGGAAGGTATTTGTGAAATTTCATTGAAATCTGTTCAAAAGTTTTCCAGAAGGAGTAAAAAATGTTAAAAGTTTATAACGAACGTCGCTGGACAACATGAGATCACAATCAGTAAAAACTTACATCGATTCCTTCATCAAGTAGATCCTTTATGACTTGTATACAAAGTAATTTCATCTTCACTGATGTCTGAAAAATAAACACCATACAATAAGTAAAAGACATATACATGGTTATCAACATAGACTGGAAACTGTTGATAAATCTTATTGGCTTGATGTACTACAATTTGAATTTTAGTTTTCTGGGGTTGTCTTACCATTCGTGACAGAATGCTGATTTCAGCCAGAACCCAGTCCGGGCAATCTAAGTCTCCACAAAATCTGAATCTCTGTAAAACAATTTAATATCACAAATAAAATAATAATAAATGAAACTGAATAAATTGGTTTACAAAAAGAATATTTCATTCATAGGAAGTGAAAGTGACTTGTACAGTTAAATGTACTGCAAGTGAAATTTTTTCTCCAAGATTCCATGCAGATTTATATTATCTTATCTGTGAAGGATCTGATGGGTGTGACAAGTGTTAAATTCAGTGTCTGTCACTCAGAGCATGCTTCTTTGGCTCAGTTGGTAGAGCCATGGATCATCACACTGGAGAAACTGTTGGGAATGCATAGTTCTATTACACATTAATATCAAGTCAATTTCATAACTCGAACCACAATAACTTAACAAATCAGAAAAAAACTCTCTTTTGAATTATATTTTAAGGCATTTTTTACCTTTTTGTGTGCAAAAGGAAGTCTTACCAACAAAATCAATTTATTATGTAAGACACGATAATCAAAATTCTTATGACACTCTATCAACTTTCATATATCAGCTTGGAGTTACTGAACAGTACTTTGGAACATGACACGGTATCATCTGGTCAATGAGGAACAGACCTTTTGATTCGTATGCGTTTTCTTTCCACTTCATTTGAATACTTATCCGTGACCCATTTCCTCCCAACTTTTTATAGAGACATGATGTTATGACTTAAATAAAAGTCTATAACTATGTCACAATTAATTTTATTTAAGACAAGTTAGTGTGCATTTACTCTAACCTACGGTTACCAAAATGTCCCTGCACGCTCGTGCTGGATTCTTGAATTAATAATAATTTCATTTTTAGTTTCATCTGAACTCAAAACATATCAATTTGCCATAAATATATTCATTGTAACGACACTACAATCCAAAAATTTGCTTTGAAGGTATATGAAAAATCAATGTGTTCTCAGAGATCACCCAATTAATATTTGAAACAGTTCAAACTTAATGGCACATACATTTTCCACATATTCGATTTTAGTATAAAGCTACATTGTCTTTTCATAAGCTGTAGGGAGAGATGGGTGTATACAGTATGAATGTAAATGTATGTATGATTATTTCTGATGTAACTGAAACGATCTGATCACATGCAGGTAGTTTTAGGAAACACCCACTACCTACCATCTTTGTTTTGGTTTGTCGAATAAACTACAACGAACGATTTTGATTGGATAAAATAACAAACACTGTCGGTGAATCATCTTAGTCTTTCGTATGTTTATTTCCAGAGGCAATATAATGACCAACAAGAGTGTTTTATTGATAACGATGCTGGATTGAACTTGACCGTACCCTCACGTTTGTTGTAGAAGAATTTTTTTAATTTTTATTTAGGGTTGACCAGTGATCAGAAATACATGTCACAGGTATTTATTGCATATTGCTATTTAATTATCATGTATTTGATTACTACTACACGGTTGCACAACTTTCACGAAGGTTCGAAATTCATATCAGTATTCATATATATTGCTCCAAACCTGACACAAGACAACGTTTCACATTTTGTGACATCTTGTGATTTTGTAAGTTATTGTAAGTTATTAATCACCGATATTATTTCAACTCTATCACAAATACAACAAGAGTATATTAATGTTTTAATATCATAATCATCTAATAAGGATACAATTTTAGGTTATTTTGTTTTACACCTGTGTACCAAGTAAAAAATGAATAGAAAAGGGTGAATTTACATACAGCTAAGACCATTAGTTATTTCCCCTTGTCACTCAGCTTATGGATTATACTGATTTGGTAGATTCTTTGATCCAGTTGTCGTGTTACAGAAGACTTCAGGGCCAGTATGGGACTCTCACTCACCAGGAATATGTTTATCTTGTATCATCCCACTGGCTTTGGTATATGAAGAGTCTGGGGTATTCATATATGTTCTGAAGATCTATCAGTCTTGCATTGATTAATGTCGGATCCCAGACTGTATAACAAGTGAGGGAAGGTTGACATTCAGAAGATAATTGTTTGCAGCATGCCTGTGAAAGTAATGATTTTTGTCACAATATTCGTATCAATGCACAGCCATGCATAAGTTGCTTATTTCCCTCTTTTATTACAAGGGAGTTCTGGCATTCATCATCTCTCCACCCCCATTCCCACCAACCCAACTCCCTCAAAAAATAAAAAATGGTAAACTTTCACAGTAAAAGTCAAATTTGGAAGTCCATTGGGTAGTGAACCAGTCATAATCCAAGATGGCATTGATTTTTTCATGTGTTTAGTTCAAGTTTCGCAGGTGTAATAAAAACATGGAATTCAACAGCTTTAATCATCATGTTATTTAACTGTTATTCGATCAAAAACATGTTTTTTCAAAATGTGGTCTAATCAAAGCGTCAGTTGTTATCAATTAATCCAGGCCAGGAAAAGCTGCATGCAGACAATCTCGGGGCCTGAATACCCGCCATGCAATTTAATTCAGTAACAAAATTGTTAATGATATTCAGCGAATTTGCTTTTACTGGTGGTTACTTTGGCTGAAGTGAGCCCAGGAGATTAAATTCAAATCAAGTGAATGAATGGATGGGAATGACAGAATGTGTGTTTAGAAATGAGAGTGTGTTAGCATGATATAATTATGAATAAATAATGATGTAAATATATATATATGCCACTACATTAAAGCTCTTTAAATGAGAATTATTGAATAATAAAGATAATGATTTGTTCATTCTGAACTTAGACATTTTTTTAATTTTCTTAATCACATTCCTAGGAGATAGTCACAACAATATTTAACAGATGATTTTTTTTTTATATTTTTCAGATAAACACTTTCCTGCGATGATGCTTCGCTCCTTACTTCAAATTGCAAAGGTGGTAAACCCACTGAGTATTCAGCCATGTCCGAAATGTCTACAGCGACTGGTACCTTCCTCCTTAAGCTTTCAGCCAGTCAGGGTAAGACTTGATTCAGAATATTGTTGATGGTGAAATAAGTTGTGGCTGTTTTTTTCACTGACTGTGATCGGTTTATTTCTCTCAAAAGCTAGTAACAGTTATAGATGCATATACTCATATCATAATCTTACAACATCCAGGCCTATAATCAAATTGTTTTTCTCACCTTTGTTTATAATTTCATGTGAAATCAAATCACTTTACAACCAACCAAAATAGCAATTAAAAAAAATCATGCATTGATTGGGATCAGTTTACATATTGTCACACTCAAAATATTGTTTCTTGAGTTTACAAAATATGTACGAAATACTGTTTTAACTTGGTAGGATTAGAAAAAACCTTTTTATGACATTGCATTGAGAGGCTAAAATTTTCGGGACATAGATATTTGAATCCAAGGCTTGTGGCTATTCCATGTGTTAGACTTTTCCAGATTAAAAGTAATTTTGTACAAAAGTTATTGAATTAGTCGAGTATGATTGAACAATGTATAATGAAAAAGAAAAAACATTCCAAAAATGCTGGGGACCAGATATCCTTGGCCCCAGGTGAAAATCGCAATATCCCTTCTTTAATCGAGGGATCGGATATCTTTTCATTTTGAGTCAAACTGTCAAGTTTAAGTATAAAAAGACATAAACACAATATATTTGGTATGATAATGCATGGATGTGTCTCTGTATGACTTAATTTTTCTGTAATATCATATTTTCATGCAATTTTTCTGGTTTTTCAAAAATCAATATAGCTTTATGTCCTCATGTGAATTTGTGGATGAAGACTACTCACAAAATCTATGAGAATAAATCCATAAAAATGAATGTAAGGTAAGTCAGTATTAGTGTACAATATCATTCTAGATCTGAAACTTTTTTTTGCAGACAACTTACATAGTTGAGCGAGTGAATGAAGTACCACTACATAAGAAAACAAGACAACCACGACTCAAGACACGACATTATATCTACAAAGTCACTACTGACCCTCAGTACTTTCGTTTAGAGAAGGCCAAGGTCATTCTTCTCAAGAATGTCAGACGTAAGTGTTTTATCTAAGATAAGAAGGTTGAAGAAACACAGCTTTCATCATCTACTTATAGATTTAGCTGTTGAGGGCTACAGGGATGTTGGTATTCACAGTTCAAAATTATGTATATGATAGTTGGGCTAATGTATACAGGTCATATGAGGGTTTTTTTTTAAATATGTTGAAAGAATTTTCAGATGACCATGTGATCCTCCATTCTGTCATCTGTTCATTGTCGCTCCTTAAACTGTTATTGTTATAGTTGTGCCCTTTAGATAAAAATGGCTTGCAGATGTCCATCTTTGATTTTTACAAGGAAAATTTTTTATCAATGATTTGCAAAAAGTGTAGGATAAATTTTCTCAAATTTCTTCCATAGGCTTCCAGTGGTCCCTTGTTTTGCATTTTAATTTTTGGTCAAATCAGAAAATCAGTATAGCTGATGGCCATCTTATTTCTGAAGAGGACTTTCCAAATTTCAAATCATTGAGAGCAAAAGCAGAGGAAAGAAAAGAACAGAAAAGATTCAAAATTTAAAGAACAGAGAAAAATCAAACATTGTTGGAACCAATATCCCTTTGGTTTAGTTGATTTTTTTTTTTCACAATTTCACAATTTTCTTTTAAACTTTCTTAAGAACTGGATGAAAAACAAATTGTCCTGCAGACAACAGTCTTACATTTTTGCGCAACATGAATTTCTCACCATTATTTCTTGCGAGACTGATTAGAAAAAAGTAAATGACTGTCAGGTGGCAATCTTGGATTATGACAATTGTATATAATTATTGTTTTATATTGAGAAGTACTGGATCAATCAGTCTCAGATTTCCCATTGGTCCCTAGTTGTACATCTTTGGTTATTTGAGGGGGATAAAGAAGGGAAATTATCCATTTGATAGAGAGATCAAAAAGAACTTATAAAAATCATAGTGGGATTGGCATCGGTGTACATCTAGGATAGCTTGTCATGTTTAAACTGAAACAAAAAAAGGAAAACAAAATATGGCCTGATTTATAAATCACGTATTGAATGGAAACAAATTCAAGGCCGTTTTTATCAAATGATCTAATATTTTGCTGAAGCTGCAAATTTTGGACTGTTATGTACCTTTCTAGAACTCTTTCTTATTATTACTTTTTAAATTTTTCTCAGCATCAAAATATATATCCTAAGGTCAGCCTGGATTGATGAAATGGGTTGAAATACTCCTTGCCAATATAGAAATAGACTGTCTAAATATAGCACTTTTGGGGAATCCCGAATTCAGTCCCTGACTAGGTCACAGATTTTATGTAAAGATGCCTGTTACTTATAATTTCCACAGAATTCTGTTGATTTGTTTTGTTTTTATTGTATTAATTAAAAAAATCTACACAAATATTTCACACTCTTCAAAAGCAAAACAGATGTTTGTAAATTGATCTAAATATATCTATATTGAATTCCCACGAATTAAGTACATGTATCACATGTTTATTTAAATGGTGAATTGAGGCACACAATTTCAATAAGAATGTAAGTAAACTTTATTGTAAATTTTTCATAAAAAATTCATATAAAATCTTCTCTTATAATGAATTTGACATTTCAGAAAACATTTATTTCTATATCAAACTTCAAGTTTCCTTGTGTACGTATAATTTCCATTGTGATCTCAATCTGTTTACGTGTGAATCAGTTACTGTGAATTCACTCTTGTACATGTATTTTGACAGATGTCGGGAAACCTGGCGAAGTTTTGTATGTCCGTCAAAAGCTATTTTACCAGAAATTGTATCCATCAGGGTTTGCAGTCTTTGCAACTGAAAGTAACCTGGAACTGCACAATGAATTGATCAAGGTAAAATTGAGAGACTAAAGTGTACACAATTTGAACATCTTAACAGTTTTTAACTCATCTAGCCAAAAGGGCCAAGTGAGCTTATGTCCTCAACTTTTCCATTTTAACAACTTCTTCTAAAAAAACAACAGACCAAATTCATAGTATTTGGCTGATGGGTAGCTGGGATGAAACCCAACAAAGTTTGTGAAAAGTGACCTTGACTCTTATTGAAGGTCATAAGGGTTGAATTTGTTGAACATGACTTTACATACTTGGATTGACCAAGATTTAATTGGTGAGTGTTGACGATGAAGCTGAATACGCTTACACATCCAGAACACCTGGTCTTATTCTCATTGTACTTTTTCAGGAGTCTCCGTATAAATCTTTCTTTTGTTGCAAAAAGAAATGACCTTGTTTGTAGACATAAGCAGGGAAAGCTAGCAACACTTTCCGCTTCATGTGACATTTTTGTGATGGTGATAAGTGTTGTATACAATGAGGGAACTTGATTGGTGACAAATTTCTAGTTTTGATATTATTTATGACTGTCAGAGATTTTGTGTTGTGATATTGTATTAATGGAAGTTGCAATACTTGATAAAGTAAAAAGAATTTAAGAAAGTTTTTGTCAGATTAGAAGCTAAATTTTTTTTAAAAATTACTAAAATCAGTTACTTCTACACCTTTGACTTAAAATGAAAGCACAGAAAATAAACAGGTCATCAATGGTCAGGGCTCTCACACCCCATTTTGGGACTGGGGCCCGGGGCCCTTTGAATTGGGAAAAATAATGGTGTTTTCCATAGAATTGGGAAAACTTAGGGTCTAAATTGGGGAAAAAAAGATACTATTTTGCATTAGGAATGGGGCTGAATATCGGCCCCAAATCTAGCAGATCGAGAGCCCTGACGGTATTTTAAAATTCTACTTTACAGTAGTCTATTTATTTGGTACGTCTAGAGATTCTGTTAACAATCAGCCGTTATGTAACATGATATAAAAAGCAGTAGGTTGTTTACATGATATAAAAACAGTAGGTTGTTTACAGTAAAACATGATATAAAAACAGTAGGTTGTTTACAGATAAAAACAGTAGGTTGTTTACATGATATAAAAACAGTAGGTTGTTTACAGTATAACATGATATAAAAACAGTAGGTTGTTTACAGTACAACATGATATACAAACAGTAGGTTGTTTACAGTAAAACATGATATAAAAACAGTAGGTTGTTTACAGTATAACATGATATAAAAACAGTAGGTTGTTTACAGTACAACATGATATAAAAACAGTAGGTTGTTTACATGATATACAAACAGTAGGTTGTTTACATGATATACAAACAGTAGGTTGTTTACAGTGTAACATTATATAAAACAGTAGGTTGTTTACAGTACAACATGATATAAAAACAGTAGGTTGTTTACAGTAAAACATGATATAAAAACAGTAGGTTGTTTACAGTAAAACATGATATAAAAACAGTAGGTTGTTTACATGATATACAAACAGTAGGTTGTTTACATGATATACAAACAGTAGGTTGTTTACAGTACAACATGATATAAAACAGTAGGTTGTTTACAGTACAACATGATATAAAAACAGTAGGTTGTTTACAGTACAACATGATATAAAAACAGTAGGTTGTTTACAGTACAACATGATATAAAACAGTAGGTTGTTTACAGTATAACATGATATAAAAACAGTAGGTTGTTTACAGTGTAACATGATATACAAACAATAGGTTGTTTACAGTACAACATGATATACAAACAGTAGGTTGTTTACAGTACAACATGATATAAAAACAGTAGGTTGTTTACAGTGTAACATGATATAAAACAGTAGGTTGTTTACAGTATAACATGATATAAAAACAGCAGGTTGTTTACAGATAAAAACAGTAGGTTGTTTACAGATAAAAACAGTAGGTTGTTTACAGATAAAAACAATAGGTTGTTTACAGAATTTTAAAGTTAAATGTCAACAAAAGGAAGGCTTTCATTTGACCTATCACAAGAAACATCATATCATGAAACTCAATACTGATATTATCATGGTGTCTATTCCATGGAATTAAGCATAAAGTTGACATCTTATATCTAGCTAGTTGATAAATTTATGTAAAAAGTGTCAACAATTTAGTTCAGGAATTTTCTCCAGAATTTGAATGTCTGAAAACTGACAAGTTTGGAGTCCCCGTTTTACTGTAACGGTGACAAATCTGAATATTTTCCAAACTCAGTGTGAATGATGTCTCTGTTGTTTTACTGTACCTGTGACAAACTCAGTGTGAATGATGTCTCTGTTGTTTTACTGTACCTGTGACAAACTCAGTGTGAATGATGTCTCTGTTGTTTTACTGTACCTGTGACAAAGTCAGTGTGAATGATGTCTCTGTTGTTTTACTGTACCTGTGACAAAGTCAGTGTGAATGATGTCTCTGTTGTTTTACTGTACCTGTGACAAAGTCCGTGTGAATGATGTCTCTGTTGTTTTACTGTACCTGTGACAAACTCAGTGTGAATGATGTCTCTGTTGTTTTACTGTACCTGTGACAAAGTCTGTGTGAATGATGTCTCTGTTGTTTTACTGTACCTTAGACAAAGTCAGTGACAATGATGTCTCTGTTGTTTTACTGTACCTGTGACAAAGTCAGTGTGAATGATGTCTCTGTTGTTTTACTGTACCTGTGACAAACTCAGTGTGAATGATGTCTCTGTTGTTTTACTGTACCTGTGACAAAGTCTGTGTGAATGATGTCTCTGTTGTTTTACTGTACCTTAGACAAAGTCAGTGACAATGATGTCTCTGTTGTTTTACTGTACCTGTGACAAACTCAGTGTGAATGATGTCTCTGTTGTTTTACTGTACCTGTGACAACCTGTGACAAAGTCAGTGTGAATGATGTCTCTGTTGTTTTACTGTACCTGTGACAAAGTCAGTGACAATGATGTCTCTGTTGTTTTACTGTACCTGTGACAAACTCAGTGTGAATGATGTCTCTGTTGTTTTACTGTACCTGTGACAAAGTCAGTGTGAATGATGTCTCTGTTGTTTTACTGTACCTTAGACAAAGTCAGTGACAATGATGTCTCTGTTGTTTTACTGTACCTGTGACAAACTCAGTGTGAATGATGTCTCTGTTGTTTTACTGTACCTGTGACAAAGTCTGTGTGAATGATGTCTCTGTTGTTTTACTGTACCTTAGACAAAGTCAGTGACAATGATGTCTCTGTTGTTTTACTGTACCTGTGACAAACTCAGTGTGAATGATGTCTCTGTTGTTTTACTGTACCTGTGACAAAGTCTGTGTGAATGATGTCTCTGTTGTTTTACTGTACCTTAGACAAAGTCAGTGACAATGATGTCTCTGTTGTTTTACTGTACCTGTGACAAACTCAGTGTGAATGATGTCTCTGTTGTTTTACTGTACCTGTGACAAAGTCAGTGTGAATGATGTCTCTGTTGTTTTACTGTACCTGTGACAAAGTCAGTGACAATGATGTCTCTGTTGTTTTACTGTACCTGTGACAAACTCAGTGTGAATGATGTCTCTGTTGTTTTACTGTACCTGTGACAAAGTCAGTGTGAATGATGTCTCTGTTGTTTTACTGTACCTGTGACAAAGTCAGTGACAATGATGTCTCTGTTGTTTTACTGTACCTGTGACAAAGTCAGTGTGAATGATGTCTCTGTTGTTTTACTGTACCTGTGACAAAGTCAGTGACAATGATGTCTCTGTTGTTTTACTGTACCTTAGACAAAGTCAGTGTGAATGATGTCACTGTTGTTTTACTGTACCTTAGACAAAGTCAGTGACAATGATGTCTCTGTTGTTTTACTGTACCTTAGACAAAGTCAGTGACAATGATGTCTCTGTTGTTTTAGTGACAAAGTCAGTGTGAATGATGTCTCTGTTGTTTTACTGTACCTTGACAAAGTCAGTGACAATGATGTCTCTGTTGTTTTACTGTACCTTGACAAAGTCAGTGTGAATGATGTCTCTGTTGTTTTACTGTACCTGTGACAAAGTCAGTCAATGATGTCTCTGTTGTTTTACTGTACCTGTGACAAAGTCAGTGTGAATGATGTACCAGAATCTGTTGTTTTACTGTACCTGTGACAAAGTCAGTGTGAATGATGTCTCTGTTGTTTTACTGTACCTGTGACAAAGTCAGTGTGAATGATGTCTCTGTTGTTTTACTGTACCTGTGACAAAGTCAGTGTGAATGATGTCTCTGTTGTTTTACTGTACCTGTGACAAAGTCAGTGTGAATGATGTCTCTGTTGTTTTACTGTACCTTAGACAAAGTCAGTGTGAATGATGTCTCTGTTGTTTTACTGTACCTGTGACAAAGTCAGTGTGAATGATGTCTCTGTTGTTTTACTGTACCTGTGACAAAGTCAGTGTGAATGATGTCTCTGTTGTTTTACTGTACCTGTGACAAAGTCAGTGTGAATGATGTCTCTGTTGTTTTACTGTACCTTAGACAAAGTCAGTGACAATGATGTCTCTGTTGTTTTACTGTACCTGTGACAAAGTCAGTGTGAATGATGTCTCTGTTGTTTTACTGTACCTTAGACAAAGTCAGTGACAATGATGTCTCTGTTGTTTTACTGTACCTGTGACAAAGTCAGTGTGAATGATGTCTCTGTTGTTTTACTGTACCTGTGACAAAGTCAGTGTGAATGATGTCTCTGTTGTTTTACTGTACCTGTGACAAAGTCAGTGTGAATGATGTCTCTGTTGTTTTACTGTACCTGTGACAAAGTCAGTGTGAATGATGTCTCTGTTGTTTTACTGTACCTGTGACAAACTCAGTGTGAATGATGTAGAATTTGTTTCCATCTGGTTTAAGTGATCCATTATATTCCATTTATAATTAAAACTAGTGATATAACTTCTTTATTATACAAATATTTTTTTTTCCATTTCAGAATCGACAAATGAAAATGAAGAAATCTAAAGAAAAGTCTGAAACGATTGTTAGAGCAGAACTGGTATGAACAGAGTTATCTTCTCTTTGTTTTTATATAGAATAAAAGATTACAATGTAGGTAATGAAAAGCAAGGGAACACTACATCCTCCATATTTACCTTACAAACATCTGACTTGTATGTTGCTGGCAAAATTTAGTGTTACCATGTATTACTGCTAACCTGATATCAAATCATTTTCCATTTTTGTTTTCTCATCTCATTTGTCTTCACCTCCTCTTATTATTGTCCTTTTATCATCATCCTCCCCATATCATCATCCTCCCCATATCATCATCCTCCCCATATCATCATCCTCCCCTTATCATCATCCTCCCCATATCATCATCCTCCCCTTATCATCATCCTCCCCTTGTCAGTGTCCTCCTCTTATCATCATCCTCCCCTTATCATCATCCTCCCCTTATCATCATCCTCCCCTTATCATCATCCTCCCCTTATCAGTGTCCTCCCCTTATCAGTGTCCTCCCCTTATCATTGTCCTCTTCTTGTCATCATCCTCCCCTTATCATCATCCTCCCCATATCATCATCCTCCCCTTATCATCATCCTCCCCTTATCATCATCCTCCCCATATCATCATCCTCCCCATATCATCATCCTCCCCTTATCATCATCCTCCCCATATCATCATCCTCCCCTTATCAGTGTCCTCCTCTTATCATTGTCCTCTTCTTGTCATCATCCTCCCCTTGTCATCATCCTCCCCTTGTCAGTGTCCTCCCCATATCATCATCCTCCCCTTATCATCGTCCTCCCCTTATTATCATCCTCCCCTTATCATCATCCTCCCCTTATCAGTGTCCTCCTCTTATCATCATCCTCCCCTTATCATCAGTCTCTTCTGTCATCGTCCTCTTATTATCATGGTCGTCCTCCCTGTTCATTATCAAGTCACCACTTCTGATTTGTGGTCTGTCTGGTAAACAATATTGTGTTATTGCTATTCCTGAAGAACAGAGGAAGATACTCATCATTGGACCTAGTTGTTCATGCTACATAGGAGTGTCATCAGATATTCAAGAAGATGGCATTTGCCGTGAACTCTGACCTTCCTCCACGCCGTGAACTCTGACCTTCCTCCACCATCTAAACCTGGCCATGAACTCTGACCTTCCTCCACCATTTAAACCTGGCCGTGAACTCTGACCTTCCTCCACTATCTAAACCTGGTCATGAACTCTGACTTTCCTCCACCATTTAAACCTGGCATGTCCTTAAATAACACTGGCTGTTTATAGAACATAAAACAATAAATTATTCAAACTGGGCACAAAGGGTGAATTTTGTTTATGATTTAAAAATTTAGAAAATTGTTCAACTCAGATCATCACTCAAAATACATGCACTACACTTAGTTTTCTTTTTTAGACTGCCAACGATCTGACTGGGATGCGTTTGCCGATCGCTGTCAGCACAGCTACTGACACAGTGGTGACGGCTTCACATGTGGTGGTCGCTCTTTGGAAGGCGGTAAGCGACTGTCAAATATTTTCTCACCTATTTCTCATGTCCTGTAGTAGAATAAATCAGGCAATATTGAATAAAGGAAAGGTACAGTTGGTAAGGACAACAGGTATCTTGTAGGGATATTTGTTTACAACTTGTATCTTGTATTGGGACTGTTCTGAAGTTCTGTTGATAAATTTTGAACCATTTAGTTATTGATAAATCTAGAACTCAAAAGTTTTGTTGAGATATTAAATTACAAGTTCTGGTGTAAAAATTATGATTTTAAAAGAAAGAAATTTAGTTTTAGATTAGATAGTACAGTATTTAAACCTACATGGCAACACTCATGTTTATTTTCACAGGGAATAGAATCAAACAAAAACCTCATCACCATGCCAGAGGAACCTGTTACCGGGGACGACGAGTTCCCTATATCTCTAACGGTAGGTGTCACCCATATAGACACTCTATAAATAGTTTTACCCTATGATTCCTGTTGAAAGTTTTGTCCACAGGCCTAAAGTTTCCATGGTTACAGACGTGAAACGAGGCCTAAAATACCAAAAATCAAACAGTAGACACAAGGCTAATGCTTATTGTTCTGTAGAGTTTAATTCTGTTATTAGTAAAAAATAGAATTCTGACAAAAGGCATATAGAAAATGAATAGAGAAATCCTTACTCCACCAGTATTTCAGGACTTTTAAAAACAAAAGAATTTTTCACAAAAGTTTGAACAATGGAAAAAAAACATTTCACTACTTGGAGCTTCTTAAGGCAAAATCACAGAATTTCTGAAACTGTAGTATCTCTGAAATAATAGACACTATACAAGATGGTGGACTTTGTAAGTATTCATCTGGTATATTTATGGACCAATAAAATATTGACGAGAATTAAAAATGGAGATAATTGTAACTGCAATAAGAAACATAGCTGGAGATCCTATTGGTATAACATGCATGACTTTACTTCCTTTCGAAAATGGATTTCCTGGAAAGTCTTTTTCAGGACAGTCACTCGGAATAGACATGCTTTCCCTAATACAGCTTGGTATCCCTATAACATACAGAACAACAGTGTTAAGGTTGCTGACTTCACAAGAAATAAAACTGCTATCAAAAGAATAAGTAAACTATATCATCAGAACTGTTGTAAGATATTTTAATGTTTCTTTTTACCTCCACAGATCAATGACAAATACACGGCCAAATTTACAGGTGTAATTTACCGAGTTGGTAAAGACAGTGACCAGCTCATTCCTAGGGAATTCGATGGCTTTCTCAAACGTACGTCAAAAACAAAAGATTCTAAAACAGTAGTGAAGAGTTAGACCTGCCAATTATTATCCGGTGATGATGATGATGGAGATATTGAGTGCTTGAAATAGACAATTAAATGATATTAAACATGATCAAGGTGTTGAGTGGTGTCTTGTAACAATAGAAATAAATATGATTTCCAGGGTTAGAAGCAATTTTTGTTTATGAATCTGGAAAAAGTTGCATCAAATAATATATATTGTTCTTAGTTATGTTTGGTTCTTCTTTTGGAGAATGTTGAATTTATTTTATATTCTCACATTACAATATTTGTTCACAAGATTGAGGGCAGAAAATATACAAGTGGGTCAGCTTCATGAAAGAATGATGCAATGTTAAAAATACAAGTGATGGACCATCCGAAGTTTTACCTGTTTAGTACAGTAAACATACAGGTGATGGACCATCCGAGGTTTTACCTGTTTAGTACAGACTGGTACAGTAAACATACAGGTGATGGACCATCCGAGGTTTTACCTGTTTAGTAAAGACTGGTACAGTAAACATACAGGTGATGGACCATCCGAGGTTTTACCTGTTTAGTACAGACTGGTACAGTAAACATACAGGTAACGGACCATCCGAGGTTTTACCTGTTTAGTAAAGACTGGTACAGTAAACATACAGGTGATGGACCATCCGAGGTTTTACCTGTTTAGTACAGTAAACATACAGGTGATGGACCATCCGAGGTTTTACCTGTTTAGTACAGACTGGTACAGTAAACATACAGGTGATGGACCATCCGAGGTTTTACCTGTTTAGTAAAGACTGGTACAGTAAACATACAGGTGATGGACCATCCGAGGTTTTACCTGTTTAGTACAGACTGGTACAGTAAACATACAGGTAACGGACCATCCGAGGTTTTACCTGTTTAGTACAGTAAACATACAGGTGATGGACCATCCGAGGTTTTACCTGTTTAGTACAGTAAACATACAGGTGATGGACCATCCGAGGTTTTACCTGTTTAGTACAGACTGGTACAGTAAACATACAGGTGATGGACCATCCGAGGTTTTACCTGTTTAGTACAGTAAACATACAGGTGATGGACCATCCGAGGTTTTACCTGTTTAGTAAAGACTGGTACAGTAAACATACAGGTGATGGACCATCCGAGGTTTTACCTGTTTAGTACAGACTGGTACAGTAAACATACAGGTAACGGACCATCCGAGGTTTTACCTGTTTAGTACAGTAAACATACAGGTAACGGACCATCCGAGGTTTTACCTGTTTAGTAAAGACTGGTACAGTAAACATACAGGTGATGGACCATCCGAGGTTTTACCTGTTTAGTACAGTAAACATACAGGTGATGGACCATCAGAGGTTTTACCTGTTTAATACAGTAAACATACAGGTGACTGACCATCCGAGGTTTTACTTGTTTAGTACAGACTGGTACAGTAAACATACAGGTGACTGACCATCCGAGGTTTTACCTGTTTAGTACAGTAAACATACAGGTGATGGACCATCTGAGGTTTTACCTGTTTAGTACAGTAAGCATACAGGTGACTGACCATCCGAGGTTTTACCTGTTTAGTACAGTAAACATGCAGGTGATGGACCATCAGAGGTTTTACCTGTTTAATACAGTAAACATACAGGTGACTGACCATCCGAGGTTTTACTTGTTTAGTACAGACTGGTACAGTAAACATACAGGTGACTGACCATCCGAGGTTTTACCTGTTTAGTACAGTAAACATACAGGTGACTGACCATCCGAGGTTTTACCTGTTTAGTACAGTAAACATACAGGTGATGGACCATCCGAGGTTTTACCTGTTTAGTACAGTAAACATACAGGTGATGGACCATGCGAGGTTTTACCTGTTTAGTACAGACTGGTACAGTAAACATACAGGTGATGGACCATCCGAGGTTTTACCTGTTTAGTACAGTAAACATACAGGTGATGGACCATGCGAGGTTTTACCTGTTTAGTACAGACTGGTACAGTAAACATACAGGTGATGGACCATCTGAGGTTTTACCTGTTTAGTACAGTAAGCATACAGGTGACTGACCATCCGAGGTTTTACCTGTTTAGTACAGTAAACATACAGGTGATGGACCATCAGAGGTTTTACCTGTTTAATACAGTAAACATACAGGTGACTGACCATCCGAGGTTTTACTTGTTTAGTACAGACTGGTACAGTAAACATACAGGTGACTGACCATCCGAGGTTTTACCTGTTTAGTACAGTAAACATACAGGTGATGGATCATCCGAGGTTTTACCTGTTTAGTACAGACTGGTACAGTAAACATACAGGTGACTGACCATCCGAGGTTTTACCTGTTTAGTACAGTAAACATACAGGTGATGGACCATGCGAGGTTTTACCTGTTTAGTACAGACTGGTACAGTAAACATACAGGTGATGGACCATTCGAGGTTTTACCTGTTTGGTACAGTAAACATACAGGTGATGGACCATCCGAGGTTTTACCTGTTTAGTACAGTAAACATACAGGTGATGGACCATCCGAGGTTTTACCTGTTTAGTACAGTAAACATACAGGTGAAGGACCATCCGAGGTTTTACCTGTTTGGTACAGTAAACATACAGGTGATGGACCATCCGAGGTTTTACCTGTTTAGTACAGTAAACATACAGGTGATGGACCATCCGAGGTTTTACTTGTTTGGTACAGTAAACATACAGGTGATGGACCATCCGAGGTTTTACTTGTTTAGTACAGTAAACATGCAGGTGACGGACCATCCGAGGTTTTACCTGTTTAGTACAGTAAACATACAGTTGATGGACCATCCGATTTTTTACCTGTTTAGTACAGTAAACATACAGGTGACGGACCATCCGAGGTTTTACCTGTTTAGTACAGACTGGTACGATAAACAAGTTTTTGACCATAGCAGTTTCCATCGGTTTTCCTATTAGAGTTGAAAGATTCGGATGTAATTGCTCTCATCAGTGACCACGAACTTGTCATCACAAATAGAAATTGCCATAGGGTCTCGTATTTCGTGTGACGTCAGAAGTTCTCTGACACGTTTCCCGTCCCCAGATATCTGTACGACATTGTTCGACTCCCTTCCACATACAAAGATGTTTCCCTTCCTGTCTACATCTATTCCCATGACATCCCTCACAACACCGACCTTCAGCACATTGGTAGAATGATTGTCTGCAGAAAGTCTGGACACCGCAACATTTCCTGCCTTGTTCGTCTTGATACTGACGACTGTGTCTCCTCCAAAACCACATGCCAGATACAAACAGGGGCTGCTTAGTTTGAGTAACAATTCATTCCCACCTTTTTCTGCTAGACTAAACACTCCTCGGTAGGTACCCACGACAAACCTTCCGTTTGTGTACGTTATGCCAGACACACCTATGGAGAGATCAATGTTAGATAATGGAGATAGTTTCGAATCCTCGACTTTCACCACACGTATACCATCAGGAAAGGAGACGGCCACTGCCAAAGTGTTCTTGTTCATCAGACACATGTCGCGGGGAATTCCATCGAGGATCAAGTGATGCTGATACTTTCCTTCGACAGTAAACAGCTTCAGACTCCTGTTGTTGGTATCACTTACCACTATGCATTCTGAAAGGTGTACAACTCCATGTAACCAACATTGTTTTTCATCTGACGGAATCGTCATGTCGATCTTCCTGATTTGTTTCACACAATACTCTGATAGGTAACCAAGGTCACAGGGAAACTGTCGGTGTCGTTTCTGTAAAGCGATCTCCCCCATCTTGGTACCTAGAGTACCTTTTCTAGGGTTGAACTTGTGTTTAATGCTGACTGACGTGTAGGACTTGCTCATCTCCGTGATCAGGGCCTTACACGACTCCACCTCTGCCTGTCCTCTGTGGTACAGTGTTATCGCCTCGGTAGCGTTATCACTCTCTATGGCTGTAACAGACGACTTCAGGGTATTAGTCATACCGTTCATCAGCCGTTCACACTGCTGTAACGAGGCCTCTTTATCCCTTCTCTGATCTTTAAACATTTTTACCAAATCATCTGTGACCGCCACCTGGAGTTTGTTAAGTTGTTTGTCAATATTCTCACGTTGGTTTGTGATACTTTGCAGTGAACTTTCTTGATTGTGTACCAAAGATTGGAGCTGTTCATTGAAGTCTTTCACTAGAGATTTCAGGACCTGTACTCCTCTTTTCAACCCTGCTTCTATGTTTTCCCGCTTTGATCCGACCTTGAGACTCTGTAAATATTCTGTTGCCATCATCACCGCTCCACAAGGCCTGTGGTCTCTGATCATACATACGTTACAGCCAAGACGTCGGTGGTCATCACAATACCAAACCATTTTCTCGTTGTGTTGGTCACACTTAGGCACCAATTGTTCACGTGCTGTCTGCCTGATGTGGTATTCACTGATATCCAATATATTACAATCACTATGTAAGATATCATGGTATTGTTCCTTACAAGTCTCACACAAATTCACGTTCATCATCTGGCACCAGAATTTGGCTGGATTTGCCGGATTACCTTTCGTCTGACAGGGTTTACAGTAAAGTGGTTCCGGTGACCGTTCCTTAAGCTGGATAAGGTCCTGGATCACAGTATTTGTCGGAAACTGTTCCGCCCATTGCTCTTTTGTTTCCTCTTGACTGACAAGGGAGGTAATCTTCCTACACACTGGGCAAGGAAAGGATGTTGTGGTGGCCGTATTCCCACAGATCTCTTGGGTGATGTAAGTCCCGAGACAATCCTGACAGAATGAGTGAAGACAGGGTAAGGACTTGGGTTGTTGGAATCGTTCAAGACAAATTGGACATTCCAGTAAGTACAGATCTAGAGGCCGCCCACCTTCAGCCATGACAAGTCAGTACAGATCAACTCCAACCTGGAATGGAAAAAAAGTAAAGATGATTGTAAAGTCACCACAAACAAACCTGAGGCCCAGGGTGCTGATATTGGACCTGTAGCATGCTGAGATAAAGGACTACCAAGCTTGTTAAAATGAATGCCCTTGACCGACTTTCAGGTTACTGGGGTCAAATGTGCTGAAATCTTTAAGCATTTTCTCAATAATCAAGAGGCCCACGGTGCTGATATTGGGTCTGTAGCATGTTGGGATAAAGAGCTATCAAGCATATGAAACTTAATTACCTTGACCTTTATTCGAGTCACAGGGGTCAAATATGCTAAACTACAACAACAGAGACTGTTATCAATTCCTTTTAATTGAAAATTAAATCTTCATATTTAGAAACATCAAAACCTTTGTAAGTTTGCATTTATCAGTTCTGTTCTGTCTGCCCCAGTGCTGGGACTGATGGACTAGTTCTAAAAATATCCAAAGACCTGAAGACCTCAGGTGACCGTTAAGGCCCATGGTCATCTTGTTTTATTTTAACTAGTGACCAAGGGGAACCTACATATGAAATTGGAGAAAGATCCATCAAGTACTTCTCAAGAAATAGGATTACAGTCTTCCATTGTAAGGTCAGTCATTTTGTTTTTCTGATCAGTCTCAAAATCAAACATGCACATCAAGGGACCAAATGGAACCTAACCTACATATGCAACCTGAGAAAAATCCTTCAGTATTTCTCAAGAAAGAGCGATAAGAAAAACGGCTAAAGGACGGAGGGACCACAGAAGATGGTTGGCTAAAGATCTAGGTAAAGTTCTAGTGTACAGGATCACAAAGCACATTTCAATCACAAGAGAGACAAGACAGGACAAGATGAAGATCCCATACAACGTAGTAAATAAAGCAAGGACGTCACACAGGATGAGGTATCCGTGGAGACCTACCGCTTCAAAGGAGAGGTCCAACAGGAATATTGGTGTCCACCTTTTTATTCTCTAGAATTTTTTTTCTTTTCTCTCTCTCTCTTTGCTCTTGATTACATGAAAATTTGAATTGCTGTAAGGAATAGTGATACCTAGAAATAATTCTTGAATATGCCTGTCTGTCATTTTGTTTTCAGGTCTATAACCAAGAAGAACCTACATACAAAGTCTTGGAGAAAACTACCCACTAATTCTCCAGAAACAATTTTCTGCGGACAACGATAGTCTTTTAAGATCAGTCCCAACATCAAGAGAGTCCCATTCAGTACATCTTCAGAAATAGCAGTAACAAACTTTATTAGGCATAATCCAAGACGGCCACCTGGCCTTTCACTTATGCTGATCAAATCCAAAATCAAACCAGCAAAACTTGGGACCAAGGGGATTCTACATATGGAATTTGAGAGAGATCTATCTAGTGCTTCTCAGAAAATAGCAATAAAAACTTCATGGAAAAAATTCAAGAGGCCATCTTTAGGCCATTTTGTTTTTCTGATCAGTCCCATAACCAATCAGGCACAACTATGGACCAATGGGAACAAGTATATGAAATTTGAAAATGATACATTCAGTACTTCTTAAGAAATAGCAATCAAAAAAATTGTATAAGGACAGACATCACTGCAACTGTTAGAAGTTCTAGACAAATCAGACTTTTGGCAATCGATAAGGGACGGTACGGTCCAATATTGGTACTGGATCTTCTGTAATAGAATATAGTAAGTAATATCGACGGTATGGTCCAATATTGGTACTGGATCTTCTGTAATAGAATATAGTAAGTAATATCGACGGTATGGTCCAATATTGGTACTGGATCTTATATATATATAATCTAGTACGTAATATCGACGGTATGGTCCAATATTGGTACTGGATCTTCTATATATAGAATCTAGTAAGTAATATCGACGGTATTGTCCAATATTGGTACTGGATCTTCTGTAATAGAATATAGTAAGTAATATCGACGGTATGGTCCAATATTGGTACTGGATCTTCTGTATATAGAATCTGGTAAGTAATATCGATGATATGGTCCAATATTGGTACTGGATCTTCTATATATAGAATCTGGTAAGTAATATCGACGGTATGGTCCAATATTGGTACTGGATCTTCTATAATAATAGAATAAGTAATATCGTACTGGATCTTCAATAATAGAACGGTATGGTCCAATATTGGTACTGGATCTTCATATATATAGAATATAGTAAGTAATATCGACGGTATGGTCCAATATTGGTACTGGATCTTCTATATATAGAATCTAGTAAGTAATATCGACGGTATGGTCCAATATTGGTACTGGATCTTCTATATATAGAATCTAGTAAGTAATATCGACGGTATGGTCCAATTATGTACTGGATCTTCTATATATAGAATTTAGAAAGCAATATCGACGGTATGGTCCAATATTCGTACTGGATCTTCTATATATAGAATCTAGTACGTAATATCGACGGTATGGTCCAATATTGGTACTGGATCTGGATCTTCTATATATAGAATATAGTAAGTAATATCGACGGTATGGTCCAATATTGGTACTGGATCTTCTATATATAGAATATAGTAAGTAATATCGACGGTATGGTCCAATATTGGTACTGGATCTTCTATATATAGAATCTAGTACGTAATATCGACGGTATGGTCCAATATTGGTACTGGATCTTCTACTATATATAGAATCTAGATCTTCTATATATAGAATATAATATCGACGGTATGGTCCAATATTGGTACTGGATCTTCTATATATAGAATCTAGTAAGTAATATCGACGGTATGGTCCAATATTGGTACTGGACCTTCTATATATAGAATCTAGTAAGTAATATCGACGGTATGGTCCAATATTGGTACTGGATCTTCTGTATATAGAATCTGGTAAGTAATATCGATGATATGGTCCAATATTGGTACTGGATCTTCTATATATAGAATATATAGTAATATCGACGTATGGTCCGATATAGGTGGATCTTCTATATATAGAATCTAGTAAGTAATATCGATGATATGGTCCAATATTGGTACTGGATCTTCTATAATAGAATATAGTAAATATATCGACGGTATGGTCCAATATTGGTACTGGATCTTCTATATATAGAATCTAGTAAGTAATATCGACGGTATGGTCCAATATTGGTACTGGATCTTCTATATATAGAATCTAGTACGTAATATCGACGGTATTGTCCAATATTGGTACTGGATCTTCTGTATATAGAATCTGGTAAGTAATATCGACGGTATGGTCCAATATTGGTACTGGATCTTCTATATATAGAATCTAGTAAGTAATATCGACGATATGGTCCAATATTGGTACTGGATCTTCTATATATAGAATATAGAAAGCAATATCGACGGTATGGTCCAATATTGGTACTGGATCTTATATATATAGAATCTAGTAAGTAATATCGACGGTATGGTCCAATATTGGTACTGGACCTTCTATATATAGAATCTAGTAAGTAATATCGACGGTATGGTCCAATATTGGTACTGGATCTTCTATATATAGAATCTAGTAAGTTATATCGACGATATGGTACAATATTGGTACTGGATCTTCTATAATAGAATATAGTAAGTAATATCACGGTATGGTCCAATAGTACTGGATCTTCTATATATAGAATCTTGTAAGTAATATCGACGGTATGGTCCAATATTGGTACTGGATCTTCTATATATAGAATCTAGTACGTAATATCGACGGTATTGTCCAATATTGGTACTGGATCTTCTGTATATAGAATCTGGTAAGTAATATCGATGGTATGGTCCAATATTGGAACTGGATCTTCTATATATAGAATCTAGTAAGTAATATCGACGATATGGTCCAATATTGGTACTGGATCTTCTATAATAGAATATAGTAAGTAATATCGACGGTATGGTCCAATATTGGTACTGGATCTTCTATATATAGAATCTAGTAAGTAATATCGACGGTATGGTCCAATATTGTTTCTGGATCTTAACAAACAAATGTTTGTTGGATGCCAATTACTAGGACATATATAGGATCAATGAAGTAATAGCAACAGTACGGAGAGGCAATAGTCAAATTTTCATTCGCCGGACCTTAACTCGATCGAGCGTGCGCGAGACGTGTTACAGCAAACGCAATAGCCCTTATTGGGGCCAATAAGGGGTCACACAAGATTAATAGTTTTGCGTAACCCACTGGAGCATTTTAAATTTTCAGCGCCCTTCAGACTTTAACTTAGTGGGTCAAAATTGTTTGCATGTTGTTTGACTTCTATCTTGTATTTCATATTCCAAAAGTGTTTGCCTTTCGAATAGATTTATCTTTAAAAATATGGAAATAATAAAACTTACGACCACACGCGCGCCCATTTACATGGAAGAAATTTATAGATAAAATTACTGAAAACAACATGTCTGTTTATAATTCAATATATTCTTGACGTTAATGAAATGGTTAAATTATTACACAATTTTATTTATTTTTCAATAGAAACATAAATAGAACTGTATAAAACAAGAACAAACTTAGTGTTTTTACCGAGATGTTTCTTAAGGTGTTAATTAAGACATATATATCTACCAAGTATACATGGACGATGACAGATTCCAAGTGCCAACAGTAGGACACCAGTTTAGGACGAAAGCACTAAGATGACCTCGGACTTCGTCATAACCAGGTCTATATATCTGTATATATATATACCAATACTGTTACTGTTATAACGTTATTTTGTCGACATTTTTCATATCGGTCTAAATCGAATCAATGAACTTCTGGCTAATTGGGACTAGTCTTGTGCTAAATCCCTACGGGGATTCCTTTCTGGGGCTTACTTATATTATTCAAACGTATAAACGAGTCCCAAGGAGGAATCCCAGAAGGGATTAGTCCTGAGGTTTAGATAAGTGTTCAACATTTTTAAAATGTGAGGTTACCATAACAACAAGTACGATGAACAAGCATTAGTTTCCATAACTTTCAATATAAAATGATCA